AGGGGGGGGCCGGGGCTGCGGTCGGGTCCCCTCCGGCCCTCCCGGGAGGCCGCGGCGGGGGCAGCGGGGCTGGAACCTCCCCCGGGGCGCTCCTGCTGCGGCGCTGCCAGGGTTAAGGGAAAGGGAGAAAAGCGAGAGAGGGAAAAGGCATCATTTTCGCTCCACGTTCCTTTCCTCTGCGTGGCTTTCATTCAAGTTTCTTAAAAATAACAAGTGCGTCTGCAAGCAGTGACATAATGAAGCTATAAATTCTCCAGCTACTTATAGTTCTGTAGCATTTTGCGGCGGTCTGTCCGCCCGGGTTAGTCACGACTGGGGCTCGCGGCGGGGCTGCGCGCCGGGGGCGGCGGCGCCTCGCCAGGCGGGAGCCAGCGCGGGGGGCTTCGCTCCGCGAGTTGTGGGGATTTTTGTTTTTCTTGAAAGGTCTTTTTAAATTATTGCCTCGTGTTAAAGGGGAGATGGTAAAACTCTCTGAGTGCTGCTGTATGGATGAAGTCGGGCGAAAACTGCAGAAAAGATACGCCATAAAAATTCCATTTTTGTAAACCTTATTTGAGTTTTTTTGACTCTAGTAACAGTTAAAAAATATTCTTTGCTGGCTACACGATATTATTAAACATTAAGTTCTCCTGGCATAAGTTGGATTTTTTTAATACCTTAACCTTTAAGCTTACTATAGCTTAACAGGGAAGCAAAACTGTTACCAAACCTGTAGCAATAGGTATGAGCTTTTAGTTCAATAATTCTCATAAATATCTGACTTACAAGAAACTTTCACTTTGTACAAATTGACTTTAAGAATTTGAGTGTCTAATGTTTGGGCGTCCTGAAATGACTGTAATGTTAAAGCAGGTAATTGTGGGCAAGCTGCAAACTCCTTTGCACCCTTCTGCCCCTCTGCGTTTTGCCTACGACGTTTTGGACTCCTGAAAGACTTTTGGCTTTGCACTTACATCCCCCTGGATTGGGAGGATCTCATGTGCTTGTTTTTGGCTTTCAAGTAAAGTGTTGGAGAGTTTCAGGAACCTGCAGTAGACAAGTATCCAGGAATCATTTGCACCTGTGAAAATCTCAGCTTCAGACTGTGATAGGGAAGTGTTAACCCCTTAAAATTCAGGTGCGAGTGCTGGTTTAAAATGTGTTGGGAAGCTAATGAGCAATGTGTGTAACCAGGGATTTCCTACTGTCCTAAAGAGTCAAGAGAGCATGAGATTTTGACGTTACCATGGGATACATACAGGCTTTACTAGTGTATCATGGAGAGACAGTTTTGTGGAAAGATGTAATGGGAGCTCCTATATCTCTGCATTCCTTTGTGTGTCATGGAAGAAACGGTGATCCAAATGGACCACCTAGGCAATGCAGATATCCTTTTGCAGGATCTTTATAAGCTTCTTTGAAGAAGCTAATGGACAACTGATCTGCTGAATCTAAATTTTGACCTACACAAGCACCTAATTCCAGGTATTTATAGAATATGCTGCTAGGTTTATATTTTAAAATTGTAGAATGATTTTAATATAAATTCTTGTCTTAAATTCTCTGAACATAAAATGAATGTTATTATCCAAATACTGTAAAATGCTTTCAAAGTAAAATATATTCTTTGCTGCTTCCTTATTAAACTGGAGAAAAACTTAGATGTGAAGATTAATGGGAGAAACTGTCTTTTAATTTTTTTTGCATGTTCATGGTTTTCCCGTTGAAACTCTGCCCTTAAAAACAAATGCCTAATAGAATTACTAGAATACTCCTGATGACCTTAATTTCTCATTATCTCTATTCTGTCTATATTTGTAGCTGCTGTATGGTGACTTACCTTGCAGTCTCAATAAGAACAGCGAGCCTCAGATATCCTGGCCTTTACTTTCTTTGCAAAATTGGTATTTTCTTCCATATGCTAATGACCGACCAGAGACTGGGTTGGTGTGGCATGGCTTTCTTAGAAAGCCATGTGAATGTGTGACACATCCTTTAAAACCAGCTCCCCAGCTCCACAATATCTGTGGAGAAGGTCAGAATTTGAGTAAATTAATAGGTAACAGTAGGAAGTTAGAGACTGCCATATAGTAGGCAGGGTACAGGTAGGAATATAAAGCGAACGTAATTCTATGTTACACCTTTCAAGACTTAAATGAAAAGGAATATTGTGCTTGGCAAGTTGGCTCTCGCATCGACAGCTGCTTTCATGGAATTGGAGTGCCCTCCGCGTTGCAGGTGCAGAGAGGAGGGAGCCTTTTACCCCTCCCTGGCCTCTGCCACATGCAGATGGGTCTTGAGCAGATGTTAGAGTACAAGTGGAGGATTTGCAAGAAACTCTTCTAGGTGGTCTCTTTTTCCTTTTTTTTCTCCAATTTTCCGTCTTCCTCAAAAGTAGTTTCTACTTGTTCTTCACAAACTGTTTGATTTTTTTTTCCCCCACCCCCCACCAATATAATTATTGGTTTAATTCCAATAGTGACAAGCGTAAGTTTATGACGTACAAGGCTAGTACCTCTCCAGCTTACTGTTTTTGAAAACTTTTCTTTCTGTAAAGCACGAAGTGTTATGAGTTATTAATATGCACTTGAAGAGGATTGAAGACGCCTTTGATCCACCACCTTCCTGAGCGTGCTCGTCCCTTACGTGGCGGTTCCTCTCTGCGGTGCAGCGCGTGAGTCAGGCTCCCGAGGCTGCCTGACCTCCCACAAAGCTTGCAGTGTGACGTGGTGCGCAGCACTGGTCCTGGATCACTCTCCCAGGAGGTGTCAGAGATCTTCCTTAATGAGCGTGTGGTTTCCAGCTTTTCCTCCAGGGCTTTTTCCAGCGAAGCCCATTTCCATATGCTTGGTTAAAATGTGTCAGCATTGCACTTAGAGCAGCATGGCGCAGTTAAGCGGTGTGCGTGAGTTTGGGGGGTCTGAGCACTTTTTAGAGAGTGCCCTTAAGAAGAATCTGCTTAAATGCCTTTATAACTATATTATTGTGGTGGCGAGGCTGGTGTAAAACACGGAAAGCTGTGGAAAGGTGAGGCTGGTCAGAAAGGCTGTCATAGCAGCCTGCTCCATAAAAGTTCCTTTTTTGGGTTGTGTGTGATGGCTCAAGAAATTCTTCTACCTAGAGCATGTGTTTTGTGGCACAGCAGATAAATGTCAGGTCTGGGTTGCTTTGAAGTCCTCCTTTGGCTGATTATGTCTTACTCTGTTTGTTCAATATCTGGGCTATTTTTTTGCCAGGTGTCAGAGGAAAATGCATTTTAGATATTACAGAATAGAAAATAATAATGGAATTCTGTTTTATTTTTGAATATTTGTTGCATAGAAGGAATTTTAGGATAGAGATTGAAACTGGAAAAGATAGAAATTTAAAGCTGGAAGTCCTGCTGACTGCTCAGATTTGCTATTTCTGCTGAGCTATAAGCCATGGGAAAATGCCTGCTTGCACCATAGGTTTTTATAATTCCTGGCAGTGTTGCAGCATGCGCATGCTGGAGCATGGCAGGTTTATGGGCTGTATGACCCTTGTGGTGATGTTTCAGGATGTTGTGGTGCAAGTGAAGGGCTTTCTGCAGAACTCTAGCTATATGTCTTGGTCAAAAATTATTTGTTTAAAAAGAAGAAATGCACAGTTTAAGAAAAATGGTAGGATGATGTGTTTATTTTTAGATTTTCTATTCCGGTTTGAGGAATTCCACTTTTGATTTGTGTGGAATCTCTGCAGTCTTACAAGAATAATTGTCTTCATCAAGCGTGAGAGTGCAGGTGTTGCATGTCCAGCAAAGTGACCATTAGATTAATAGGGGGGTATTCAGGGACAGGTAATACTGAAAGTTTTGATGTCGAGCAAAATGACCATTAGATTAATAGGGGGGTGAAAAGAAGACGGGGCGCGTTGCCTCTCCAGCACGTGCCTCTGGTGGATGTCATCTGATCATGTGGAGCTGAGGTACAAACTCTAATCACCTCGGACAAGCTCCTTCACTCACCTAAGCTTTGAAAAGTCTCTGCAGTAAATACGTATGTTAGGTAGCGGGAATGCCAGGCGCGACCCTGTGTTACTGCTCCACGGGTCACTGCTCGAGCACGCTCGGCCCCGTGCAGGTTAGCAAGGGCTCATGCAGGCTCCTTGGTGCGCCACAGGCAGATGCTCAGGCAGGGTTTTTTAATGTTGTGTTAGCATGTAAGTGCTGGCTGCCCTTCCTTCAGGGACAGGTAATACTGAAAGTTTTAAACCATTGGAGCTTTTTACCCAGCTAGGCATTATTTAGCGTTTATTAGGAAGTTTCTTGTAAAATTCCCATGTGCGCGTTTGAAGCCTCAGGAAGTTTGCTTGCTTCAGCATGTCAGGATATCTTGAGAGAAAAATATGAGATGCTTTCCTCTTAAACTGAGGTGGATGTGATAAATCAAATCATGGAAAATTAGAATATTTTTGAAAATATTGAACAGGACATCGTATTGCCCTATTCAGTTATCCAGAGGTGTTTTTGGACATGAGAGAAATGGAAAGGAATTTCATGGTGTCTTTGATGATTGCATTCGGGGGAAAACTTGCTGAAACGTTGTTTAAGTCTTATTTAAATATGGCCACTCTTATTTCAAATTAAGTTATTTAAGTATTCTGTATAATACCTTATGAATAAAATTGCTTTTGCAGTAATGCATTATAACACTATGTAAGTAAAAAGTAATGCTTTATAACACACTATCATCTTAATTACAGGGGTTGGAGAGAGGAGCCAAAAATCAATTTTCCACTTTCAGCAATTTCATCACAACTATCAACCAAAAGAAGGAAGGCACCGGAAACAGAAGTCCACCCACGCAACTTGTTATACCTAACATCAAAAATGGTAAGAGAATAAGGCTCCTGTGTTACTTAGTTACCAATTTAAAAAGGTGCTCGGTGTTCTGCCAATATTTGTATTGGGCTAGTGCCAGAAAATCTAGATTTCATTAGGTTACACTATACTGTGCATTGTACACTCAGTGAGACGATGGTCCCTGGCGAGGTATCTCTGGAGAAGTTAGGTCATAGAGGACAAGATGGATTAAAAAATTGGTAGGAGAGCTGGAAGATTAAATAGTCATCTGTAGTTTTAAAGGAAATTACAGATTCAGTAGTGTATCTGTAAATGCTGTTTGTCAAACTGCAGATGCCAGCTTGCTTTAGAATTTTTGTCAAAACTGTGTCAAGAAGATTTATCTGACTAAATCTGAAGAAGGATGACGCAAGCATAGGATTTTTGAAGGCAACAGATAATGAGAATTGCTGCACCATTAATGATACAAAATACACTTGTAGGCTGAATGGTGATTTCTAGAGACCTTTAAAAATGAGAATGAAAGTTACTGTGGTAAGATGAGGTAGAGATAATTGAAAGATAGAAAGTGGATCTTGGTATTCAGAGTAGTGAGCTAAAATCACGAATTCTAATAAAATGATATTGTGGTTACACCCGAAACAAAGAAGCAAAGATGCCAAATTTGGGGCTGGATATGGGATTTTGGTAACTTCAGACTTCAAAGAAAAGACAGTATAAACATTTGTCAGATTTCAATGAGCTGTGCTTGCAGTAGCTGGTCTTGTCTCTGGCCAGGTCTGTTTCAGTCTCAATACTCTCTAATTCTTTAAGTCTTTTTGCTATCTTTATAGCACCTTTGAGTGCATTTGAGGCTGGAAAGAAAGATTGCATTAATTAAAGAGTCAAAATAATGAGTTTGAAGCAAATCTGTGGACAGATTTGGAGGAATGGACAATTTGTGGAGAAATTGTCCATTTCAAACTTGAGCTGAAAGAAGTGGCTAAATAATTGTAGGATTGGATCCTTTAGTAAGACAGTTTTTGCATCATGGCTAGCTGTACTGCATACGTAAGTCAATGAAAAACTTTTTTTAGTAGTTTTTGATACCGAATAGGGAGATGCTTCCTGCTTCAAAAAAACTGGTAAAGGAAGCACAGAAGGCAGTTATTTGTAAATGACATAATTTGTTTTAACATGCGTGGTTTGGACAGGATTTTAGACACTCCTCAAGTCACTTCGTAGCGTGCAAAGCAAAGACAGACCTCTGGAGATGGCCAGTGAAAGAATTTTCCCACTGCTGGATGGTTTCCTTAGGGCAAAGCAGAAGCAGCCTGCTTGGGGGCGATGCTGCAAAGCAGAGCTCTGCTGATTCCTATGAATGTTGGAATTCCTATCTGAGGAAGCAGGAGAACCACCTTCCTGTGACCATTCTTCTCCCTGTGTATTTTAAAGAAAAGCCTGCATATGTGAACTCTATGTAAGCAGTTACATTATTGTCTGAATCTGAATGAGCTCTGAAAAAAATGTCTTGCCTCTTCAAATCAGAGCAATATTTACCTCAGAAACTAAAAGTGACCACTTGACTATTCCACTGAGCTAACATTTTTAACAGAAACTTCTATCTATTAATTTTAGAGACTCCTGCTTTGTAGTTGTAAACTTTTAAGCTTCTGTCTGGGTAGTTGCTTAATACATTCCCATGTTATGATATGTAAGTTGGCTTATGACTAAAATTTAGGACAAAACTAAATTTAGTAAAACTAAATCCAGCTTTAGAATGGTCAGGGTGAAAAATACAGTGCACTTCCAAATAGAATTATTATTATTATATATATTATATACTATCTGATCATTATAACATCGCATTTTAAAACATTTTAATTGGTATTCTAGAATTCAAGAATCCTCTTTAGTAAAGTAAAAATACCTATATGCACGTACTGTGTGTGTGTATATATACACGCACAGTGGGTGTATACACACACTGTAATACTCTGGTAGGCTTGAGTTAGAAGAATGTTAATTTCTTTGAAAAACATAACAGCACAGAAAAGGTAATGCTGGTAGTACAGCACGGAAGCGAAGATGAAGTTCATTTACTTTATAGCTGCCATAAAGATCGAGTTTATGTGATAAGTTTTACGATGCAATGATGATCTAGCAAAAAAATGCAGTGAAATAGATATGCTTAATTGTTCTAATCCTTTTATAATGTTATGAGTACAAGAAAGATTTGTGTGCTTTAAATAACTGCTTTGGACGTTTTAATCTACCTGTAGCTGTGTTGCTACAAAAATATCACTGCTTAGATTCATTCATCTTGAATTTTTTTGCAACATTCAGCTCTGCTTTGTATCAGTGAGACTTTCTTTGGTCATCCCCTAAGCAGTCATGCACTGCCAAGTCATTTTTACTTGATGTAACTGGGCAAACAGCCAAAGTGACTGTTTTTTCTTGCTTCGTAAGACTGTTATTGCTGACTATCAACTCAGTATATAAATTTTCAAGTTTCTCAAACAGAACTGAAGTGATGGATCTTAATGAATATTTTTGAATGTCAGGCAGATAAATATATTTACAAATAAACTTGAATCATGGTAAGACATTGAAGATGACAATATGCTTTAAACATGTTATTAAAGCCCAGTTTTAGTTTATCTAATTTAGACAGTGTGTATTTTAAAGCAAATTGCAGCACTGAAATGGTGCGAGTCACCAGCTTAGCACCAGCAGCTGCAATTTACTGAAGTGAGAAACAGCTTCTGTCAGCAGGCCATCTTCTGCAGATGCAAAGAGTGTTTTCTTCAATTCAGTGTATTCAGTTGGCTATAACTCAAAGTTTAATTTGTTCAGATACTGAGAAGACAGAATGGGAGTTAAATTAAAGGATGCATATTTTAAAAAAATAGTAGTTTATTTTATGTCAGACCATCCTGCTTTCAGAGAAGATTGTGGAAGGGCAGAGCAGTTGCACAGTGCAATTGTTTGGTACCTTGATTTGAATTAATTTAGTGTCTCCATGTTCACTTTGATTTTGATTTCTCTTTAAATGGCTTAAAATTCCACCCATGGGTATGGGCAAAGTTCTGTATCTGGAATCAATGTTATACCCTGAGGCTGAGGGCAGCTCTGATTTATTACCCCCTTATGAAGGCTGGCTGAGCAAGTCGCATGCAGTTCAGTTGTCATTAGCATGAGGAGAATCTGCCTTTGGATTTGGGGGATTTTATTAACTGTTAGCATTTGCAACTGCTATTTCTCTGCTGTGATGAATGGAGAAGACAGAGTAGTAATAGTAATTTAATCTTCGATTTATTTTTAAAAAATCTTGGAGATAAAACAGAATTCTTAGAGGAGTTTGGTTTCATGTTTTAGTTTTGAGGTCTCTCTTAGGTAGTGACATTAGAATTCATAGAGTTGGTTTGGAAGTGTGTGGTGCACATCAGATAAAACAGCATTTTGATGATATTTGAAGAGACTCAGTAAAATGGATATCTGTGTATCCTACACAGACATGTGTGCTCTCCCATGTTCCTGGGTCAAACATAAAGTAAGGAATAGGAGAGAGACCTTTTTCAAGCATTCTGTGCTTAGAACAGGCAGATAGGCAGCCAAATTTACTTAGAAGGAATGTGGAAAGATTGTGCCAGCAGTAATTTGCTGAAAGGCAGAGCTCTTGGATATCCCGTTTATTTTATGAGAGATGTTTTGGGATCTGCAGTCAGCTCTAGGTATAATTATATATGACAACAAAGACAAACTGAGTTGTCCTTGCATGTCAGAAATAGTTGGGCTTTGGTCTGGTTGTATTTGAGTATTTTCCTAGACTGCACTACCAGCAGTCCCTGATGCTGCCGCTGTTTTCGAATGAAATACAAGCCAGTAACAGAGAGTGCTACCAGCATCCTCGGCGTTCCTGGCACTTGTAACATTCATTTGTCTTTTCAAACAGTAAATTCCCCAGGCTGGATCAAACTAGGTAACTAATTTCTCTACATCTTTCACAAGATTGAGTATTGTGCTGGTTTTTGCTCTCATATTTCAATCTGCTTACCTCAAGTTCCTCATGGGTTCAGGCGCATGAGATGCTATAAGATACCTGGGGTTATTCTACACCTGACCTTATAAGGGACTTAATTTTTAGAGCAGTTGAACATCTACAGCTACAATGAAATTTATTGATTTAATGAAGTTTTTGCAGGTCCTATTTGGAATGTGATACTACATTTTGAACTTAAGTTTTTCCTGCATGATGCAAATACTACTGTGACGATAAATATAGTGATAGGCTATCTTTTATAAAATAGCAGAGGCTCCTTTTCAGGAAGAACTGGTTCAGATGGTCTAGCCAGCTTGTTCCTCCCATCGGCAGGAGGGAGCAGGCAGGATCCCATACCACATAGCAAGATAGTAAAAAACACTGGGAGTGTTTTCCTGCTCACTAAGCACTTGAAGTGCCCCCTGCTCTTTGCAAAGACCTAGTTGTGATCTCAAAACATGATTTGTGTTGTTTGTATTCTTTTCCTTCAATTAGTATAAATGTCTGCTGTTTGGAAAGAGCCTTCTAAGGAAAATACTAGGAATGCGTAAGTGTTTAAAGACATAATTGGCCATTAGAAATTTTTTTTCTAGTTCATATGAATGTATCATTTCATAGCTAAATATGTTTATTAGGTGTATGAATTGCACTGTATTTATTGTCGTTTACCTTTTTTTCATAAGTGAGAGATTTGCCACCTATTTGCCTCGACGTCAGACAGAAGCAGCGCGTGTCTGTAGATGCACTGCCGCAAGAACTGAAAGCACCGATCCCTCCTCAACCTCCTCAACCTTCCCTTCCCATCCGAACCAAAACCATGAAAGATTTTCAGTAAGTCGCATTGCTGTTTCTCAAACTACACTTTCTTTCTTTGAACTTTCTCCATTTTTTGCTTCTGATTTGTACTTTTTTTTGCTGATTTCAAACAGAGGACCCCATTAAATGTGACTGCCAGTTAGTTAAAGAGAATGTAATAGCTGAAGTTACCCCGCTCAAATAGTGACATTGATGATGTTATTTGAGGAAATAGTATATAAGTTTGTAGAGAAAATTGTATATCTAACTTTGTAGGGAAGAGAGAGGGGGAAAAAAAAAGTGGCATAAGCTGTCTGGGTTAGGGATTTCTCCCTGCAATGCTGCAAGCTCATCTATTTTGGTAGTGTTTCTTCAGAATAGGTAAGTTCTTGGAGTGGTATTCACTGATCCATTGAAAATGTGAATTTACTCTCCCCCTTTACCCTTCACCCACACAATAGGATTATGCTGCTCTAATATCCTTGGTGTTTTTACCAGTATGAGAATCCTGGTAGGGAAATGGGAATGACTAGGAAGAAGCCTGACTTCTGCATTTTTCAAACAGATGGAAAAAATAACAGTTGCTCCAAGAGACATATGAGCATATCCTCTTCATTGCTCTTTTTGGTGTTTGAAATGTTGTGTGTTCACTGAGGAAAATGAATGATTTTCAGTTATTCAGTGTATGTGTTTGGTTCAAAAGGATAGAGGTATAAAAGATAACTCGGCAAAAGATGATTCTTTGTAAAAATTCAGGTGATTTGAAGTGCTGATATTTTCCGTATTCAGACTTTTTAATCTATAGACTTCTGTATAATAACTACTGTGAAGTATTCTTTCAAATAAATTATTTTTAAAATTGTCACTACTGTTCCAGTAATGATCTATTTCTAGCAGATTTTTTTTGTTATGTATGTATACAAAAGAGAAAGAGAATCTGGATGGCATCACCAGTGTTGTAAACAGCTAGGATGATGTTTGTGGTTCCGTGATTTATTTTAGATACTTTTGATCTCTTTTTTTTTTTTTTCTATTTTTTATATTAGAGAAAATTTCATATACACATAAGCTTTACAGATCCAATACCTAAATTTTGGGGGTAAAATCCATAGGTGTTTTTTGTCCCTCCAAAGACTATGTACAGTCCTATTAAAAGTCTAAATTTTAGTTGGGAAAAAATGAAGAGAAAAAGTTTGGTATAAATAAATTTATAAATTATATAAATGAATTGTATATTTCAAAATTAATTAGTTGCAATAACTTCATATGCATAATTCTTCAGCATATTCTATTCTTCACTCCACTTCAGCATAAACCTATTCTGCTAATGATTTACCTTACTGTACTGAATGCTGACACTGTAAATTAATGCTTTCGAATAAGAGATGTTTCTCAGATGTCTCGAGCACAATCTATAGTTCAGTTTTCTTGTCAGACCATGATTTTACAAGACAAGAGGCATTGATCTTATACTTGTCTGTTGTCTTAATTTGCTTGCTGAAGAAATGTTAGAGTGATAGCACAACATAAAATGGAAGGGTGTTTTTTTCTTTTTATTCTTTTAAGGCAGTTAGTGTCTGTTGTTGGGAAGGTTGAGCATTCATATTTAATTGCCAATATTTTAATAAATTATTTCTAGGGATGATGTGGAAAAAGCTAAGTCATCAGGAGACTGGAAAGCGGTACACGATTTTTATTCTACATCATTTGATTCTTTCCTGGAGATAAATGCTGCATTTAAGGTAGAAAATAATTCATAATAAATCATAATTTTAAGACTTTTGGCTAGGTAATTGGTTCAGACCAATTAAGATTTATTTTAAGTTTTATTATGATCTCACCTGTCATTGCTTGACTTTCAATGATGTATTCATTTCAGATTGAGTAACCGCATTTCAAGCATATGTGTAGCTTTAAAATGCAAATATTTGGTTTGTGACACTATGACTGCTTAGTACTTTCTGTATAAGATGGTTTAGGAATGCCAGCTAATGCAGGGGCCAAGGCAAACTTGAACTTTTTTAAGGATAGGGAATTTCAGTTCTCAAGTTGAGCTAAGGTAGTATCATTATTCTTGTGCTCTGGTGGCACACTCAGTTTTGCTTGGGCAAGGTCGTATCTCTGAGTGAAAAATCTTTCAGCTCCATGCTGAATATTTCCTGCCTGTTACAGAGCAAAACGCACTTATGATATTTGATATTGGCAGTAGGGTTTGAACTTGAGCAAAATAACTGCTGAATGATGATGGCTGTTGCTCTTGTCAGATGATGAATCTATAGCAAACATGGAAGATAATGAACTATATAGTTCGTTATACAAAGACACTCATATATTTTAAATCTGTATGTGTAGTTAATGGAGTTATGCAAGTTTTGCCAGTGTGTATGATTCATTCTTTAGTTTTATCTTTCAAATACTACTAATAAAAGTGACTTAGATTCTTATGTTTTGCTAAGGAAAATGGTTATGTGCGTGTGTTTTGTTTAAACATGCTGTTAAACTCTTATTTAAAGAAAGCTAAATTATTCAAGGTATTTCAAAACCAAAATGCTTCATGTACTGTCTAACTTGCAGAAAGATGCCAATTTTCCATTTAATACCATTGAAGACTCTGGAATCAATGCAAAATTTGTGAATGTTGTCTATGATGCCTTATTAAATACTGTAAGTAGAAAAAAAGAACTCATGTTTTAAAACATTTTAACTGTTATTTCAGTGAAGAAATAAGATAAGAAGCAATTACACCACAGGTTTTTCTCAGGTAGGCATGATTTCTGAAGAATCTCTCAAAACACACTTAAAATGGTCCCATGAGAATTGCAGTAGACTCATGAAAATTGCTCCTGTAAAAGGAGATGAAACGTTTGCTGCTTGTGGTGTGGCTTAGGCGTGTGGTAGATCTGAGAGCAATCCTGCAAGACATGACATGACTCTGGTGGGGCACTGTGTGATGGGGAAATAAAGGAACTGTGAGAACGGGGCAGCAACAAGTGCATCCTGTGCTTATCAAACAGGAGGCAAGAACATCATAGAATGATGGTTACAGTGTTTAAGCTCATTGGGAAGTGAATGATAAGGATATCACTGCTTAATTTAGGTCCCCTTGCTTGACTCCTTTTGTAGTGTTCATAACCCTCTGTGACTACTGCTAATATGCAGTATACCACTGCATACCCTGCTGTCCAGCACTGTCCTCTGTGGGACACACATTGTGCCAGGCTTACACCTTAGTCCTAAGAGAAGGTGACAGTCAATTTTGCTAGTGCCTTCAGCTCATTGTCTGGACACAGGATTCCTCCTTACTCCCCTCTCCTCAGTTTTGCAGCTGGCTAAAGTGTTTAGTGCTAGTTGGCAGTACTTGCTCTGGTGATTCTGCATCACCATACTGTATAACTGACAGTATGATGAGGTTAGTTTTGTCACCGTTTCTAATATTTCACTTATTCTTCAGTTATGACGATACCACCCTTATTGAACTACAAAAATAAGTTTGTCTAACACCATGAAATTTGGTTAATTTTTTTCCTCCCACCTTCTTTTTCTGTAGCCTCAAGATGTTCAGAAGTCAGTCCTAAAGGGAATAATTAATGGTCTGTTACAGGAATGGAAAGGGTAATTATAAGCAGTTTTTACATTAGTGCTGTTCCACTTATTTACAATGTTGATTTTTTTTGTCTTTTATTCTGCTATTTTGGCCAAAGAAAGAAAATCTCCTGATATAACTCACTTGACTTCGAAGAGTTTATCTCCTTTCCTCACCTAAAATCCCCGTTCTTTGTGCTGAGGCAATCTCTTGGGCATCTGAACTGTGAGATGAATTGGGGCATTGATCCTGCATAAACCACCTTGCCCCTCTGCCCTCTCCTGGGTTAGTTCTAACCCAGATCAGTTCCTTGGCCTGAAATTCACAACGTTACACTCATGTGGCAGCAGCACAGAAGAAGGTACAGGCTGCAGAGGGAAATAGCCAGAAGGCAGGAGTTAATGAGAAGGAAAGGTTTTTAGCGAAAGATAATAGAGACAAAAATGCATCATTTGAATCACAGAAAGAATGCAAGATGCAGCCCCTTCCAGTCACTTGTGATCCAGCCTCTGCCTGTTCTTTTCTGTGCCCCATATTGCCCTCTCTGTGCTGTTAGCACATTGTATTTGTGGTTAGGCAGAAGTCTGGAAGCAGATGAGCAGCAAGATGCATAGAGGGCTGCTGGGGTATAAATAATAGAGAATTGTGGCAGAAAATGCTAGAGATGGAGGAAATATATTTCTCTCTTCTGAGATAGACAAGAGCATGGATTTCTGCCTTTTCATTTCTGATTTTTGTTTCTCCCCCGTCTTGTGTTATACCACAAGAGAGAGATGCTATCGTAGCTCACCCCTGAGGATGGTGTACCAAAAGTATTGGCAAAGCAGAGTCCCAAAATGCATGTTTTCATGGCTGTTACTGTAAAAGGTACCCATAAGATTCTGTTTCTTATTCTGTTCATTCTTAGGCCACGAACAAAAGATGATCTTAGGGCATACTGTATACTTTTACAGGTAAGAAAAATATCTTTAAGTATTTGTACATTTAATTTATAATCTATAAACCAGTATACTATGCAAACAAAATATTTAGAAAACTATAACTGAGAAACTTTACATTTAATTCATTTAATTTCGTGTTGTCAGCGTGTAATAGAATGCAGGAAAAGTCTAGGGTTGCATGATGGGGAGGGGAGCTTAGTAAAAGCTGATGGGGAAATGGTGAAAAGGCTAAAACTATGAACTAAGGACACTTAGACATGCAGTTATTTCTGTCATATTGTGGTCTGAAAGAGCAATTTTCTTATTTCCTCCTTATTTCCAAGTTTGATTTTTTGGCATGCTGTAACTTTGATCCTTCTGGAAAGATTCAGTATATGCAATTTTTTGTGTTCCTGGAATAATGTTTTGGTTTATTCATCAAACTCACTCCAATTTTTGTCTGCATTAGCATGTGATCTTTGCTACTAAAGTTGATCTCTTCTTGCAGCAAAGTTCTTTAAATTTTGGCAGAGTAGATAACGCCTGCCCACATGAGAGAAGTTTTTGCTGTTAATGTAAAATATCACCTGGTAATTAAAATTTTAGAGAGAAGTTTTCTTCCCTGGGCTGATATACTAGCTGTGGATTATGAGGAGTATATATTGGTGAAAGGAGGGAATGGTTTAGACTTGTGAGTAAGAGGGAAAGTTAAGACTGAGCTATCAGTCGCAAAACTTGTCACTTGGATGAACGTGATTTCTGGGATATTTGAATTACAGTATTGGAATAGCGCCCCCCTCAAAAAAAACACTGAGTTTTGCCATTGGTTCGTGCGTTTAGTTTTTTTTGAAAGCCAAAAAATATATACTTTTACAATATAGGAGTTAGGTATTTTTCATTTCAATAGAGGTTGTAAATAATATTTTTTCATAGTCTTCCACTGTTGCGGCAGTTTTCTGAATTAGACTTTTCTGGATAATTGTATTGGCAACAACAAACAAATAAAAAACAATCCTAATGACTTTTTTTTTCCCTTATGCAGTTTATTAATCTAACACTTTTTTTTTAATCTTTTTCAGAATCCTCAATTTAGTAACACTTCTACTTATGTCATCTATGCTCACTTGCTAAGACAGATAGCAGCCTTAACAGAAGCTGACCATCATTTCCTAGTGCACTGGTCTAAAAAGTAAAAATAAAAATAAAATAAAAATCAAAATCCATTTTCTTAGGATTATGATTGTTACTGTATTTCCATTTATGTTGACTGTTTTATATCTTAGATTATGTGAAGGTTAATTAAGTTGATTACAGAGACTGTTTTTGTTGTTCTCAAAGCACATTTGGACATAGTCCGCTATGTGATACTGATTTATAGATGCAAACTGTATATAATGTATAAAAATATTTTTATAAAAAAAGAAATAAATGCCTTCATTGCAAAATAATTTTTATAACTTTTTTTGTAAAGAGATATTCAAAGTACAGTATTAATGCAAATGTCTAGCTTTTGTTTAACTAAAGCTCTCTTTTTGCATTATTTCTGAAAGTTACTGTAGCTTTGCTCTAGAGCATGAAAACCACAAATGAAAACAATTCCTTTCTTCATACAGTTAAAAGGTGATGAGTGTAGTTAAGCCATTAAACTTTAATTAACAGGAAAAGAAATCTAATATCGCCAGCCTAATGAAGTCATTTATGGGTATAATTGTCTAAAGATTATCTTTTAAGTTTGCATGTGTGATGTCTGTTTTAGAGTGCTTGGGGTTAAGGAAGTTGAAGCATCCTTATTAGAAACTCCTGTATCTCCTAGGGAATCTGTTAATTAAGGATTCCTTCAGTGCAAGGGTAGAGGTAGATGTATGTGTGTGGGGGAAGGGGTACACACAGAAAAGTTCACATTTGCTTAAAACTGTGGTAGCTATCATTTCCTTTGGAACAGTGTTTGCAAATTAGATTCATGGATAAGAATATAGCAGGCCATTTTTTTAAAAGGTTATAATAGATGGATGTTTTTAATTATTGAAACAAGCATTCGAAAATTAATCACTTAAAGCTTTTTAATGTATTTAAATGTGTGAATATATATATATACATACTCATACATGTTTTGGCTGTGATTAGGTAAGTGATAATAGCATATGATTTAAAATGTGCGTTTGTCACAAGTGCTTCAGTATTCGTTCTGTTTCATTCAGAATATAAATTTAAAATGGGAATTGCAGAGTATTCAGATTGTACAGTGAAATAGTTCTGTTTTAGAGCAATTAATGAATGCATAGGTACTTTTTTTTTTTTTTAAATTGCACATGTTAAAAGGCTTATTTGAGGAGTGCTTTTGCACTGAAGAGCATTTCTTTGTGCTAATTTAAAAGCATGCTGCTTCAAACTTTATAATTTTGTTGTTATGTATAGTGTTGAAGTCTTGGTAGGATAGGCTTCATCGTAGGCAGTGGTTACATAAGAGTAACTTTAGCATTTTTGTTCTAGGATTGCACAGAGAAGGTTCAAGCAGCTGGTGGACAGGTTGCTGCAATTTATTTCTTTACGCTTGTTTCCTGCAAAACCTGAAGAGTTTCCACCCATGATGAAGTGTACCTGGTGGATTCCATCAGCAACCAAAGTCCTGGCTTTATTTAGTAGGTCTTTTCTTAGTGCATGTGTGTGTATGTATATGCACACCTATGTGTATGTTTGTATGGTTTGGGTGGGACAGCTTATACCTTTCTTCTTGATGTGGAAAGTGACAGGGATGGTGGTGCAGTAAGAAGTATAGTAAAACAGGATCCCCAAAAGCATCTAAACATTTGTAAGCAGAAGCAGAAATCTTCTGACAAGTCTTCACACTCACATTTTAATAAGGAATTGCTATGGGTAGTTTTACTCCTATGGCAACAACCGAAGATCGTTCAAACAAAAGTCTGCAGAGGTAACGTGTGGTTAGGATTTTCCTTTTTGTACCCTTTAGCAAACAGCCATCAAACTAACTTGCATGGAATGCCTGTAGAGGTTGTTACAGACGTAGGTGTGTTTGAAGCTAAGTGAAGTTGTATAAGATATTGATCTTTCAAGCTGCTTTTTCATAGATTTCATCAGAATATGGTGTTAATCTTCATCCGTGACACCTTAACTTACAGTGTGTCACTGACTAAACTGTCTGGAATCAAGTGCTGTAAAGGATTTGCTCTTGATGCTTATTTAAAAAAAAAATCAATCTTTTGTTTTGGTAGGTGAACTGAGCTAGGAGATTGGCTAGTAAATATTAGCCAATGTAAAAATAACAATGTAAAACATTATTTTTACGTGGCTAATACTGAGACTGTTATTAGTAGCTGATTTATTTTACAGCTTTTTAAGGTCCTTAGTGTTCAGAATACCTAGAAACAGATATGCTTAATCGGGGCAGTGTTTTGAAAGGCCTTTGTATTTTGTTTTCAGATGCTGCAAATAGTTTAAGTAGTCCTTCTATTATTTCGTATACGGATTTCTATAATTCTACACTTGATCATATTGATCTTATGGAGGAATATCATAACTGGCAATGTTATGGAAACTCTCATAGGTAAGAAAGGAAAATGGATTTTTTTTTATTAAGTAATATTTCATCTCTTTCACTACTTATATGTATGCCATATTACATATTGTCTTTTACTGGAAAAGACCCTAACTGTTCTTTGCAGAATGTGGATAGATTTAAGGTCAGTGTAAGAGAACTCATATTCTGCCTTTATAAACTGGTTAATAATTTGTTTATTATTTATTGATAAGGATTTACTTGCTGTTTTTTTTGTATTAACTGCATTTTACTGTGAATGTATTTTAGCCTCCAGCATAATCACAGAAAGTAATGTGTCCAGCCTTACGACTTAACAGAAAAATGTATCAAACTATCCTTTATATGTTATATGTGATTTTGATTTCACTGCTACATTTTCTCTTACTTGAAAAAATAAGAATAAGATAAATCTTTACAGGACCAAGGTTATAAGTATTTCTCTTCTTGTGAGAGACAGTTTTGTTGAGAAACATGTAGAGAAATAGGTATTTACTCTTTCTACTGATATTCTGCTTGGGAAGTTAAAGAAGAAAAACTAACATGATAGAAGATAGCAGTAAATGTAGAGTAGGCTTTACGTAGTCTCGAAGTATTAGACCCTGAGTGATGCCAAGCTTCAGACTGATTTTCACATGGATACCATCTGGCCACGTTGGCACCCAAATCCAAATTTACAGAAGGGCTGAGAGAATTCTCCCTGCTCTAGTTCTTTGCAGTTAGTGGGGACGCTGGGAATTCAGTATCTATCACAGCCCTCCCTCCCTCTCCCTCCCTTCCTCTCCCTCCCTCCCTCCTTTTTTTTTTCTTCACCTTCAGTTTTACATCTTGTAAATCTGCATAGTCGTGCTTCAGAACCAAAGCATCCCAATCAAGACTGTCCACTTAGAATTCATAAGGAAGTTCACCTTCTATATAAAATATTTAAAAACTCTAAGCTAAGCTAAGTCAAGACTCTTTGATAAAAGTTTTTCTGATTAAAATTACCAGGAAGCCAGTGAGAGATCTTTATTATTATTTTTTCTTTCCTAAAGATAGTAGAAATCATGGGCAGGAATTCAGGGCATGCATATAGGGTCTCAGACTCAGTTCAGGTGCCTAAGTATGAACTTCTAGTAAATGACCCAGCTCACTCTGCCTGCCTAGATCCCTGAGCCTGTGAGAAATTGTTCAGCTAGGGTTAACCAGGTAAACAACAACAACAAAAACCCCAATATTTTAGGTTCATCTCCCAAGGAAGGCTGCATTAGCTTGAGTTTCCGTGCACTTGACAGTAGAAAAAGTAAACACACAAATGCAATGCAAAGATAATGTAGGACAAGATATTGGTGATAACTGAGACTGCCTAATGAAATTTTGCAACTATTTTCAAATGTTTGTATTCCAACAACAATGATCTGTATAAATTTCCAGAAGCTAGGCAAAATTGGCAGAAAAAATGAATATCAAAGGTAATACAGAAGACTTACAGATTTCTTTTTCTACAGAAGAATTTTTGTAGTGTTTTACCAAATGCCTTTTTACAGTGTGTTTGTCATAGTTGCAAATAATTTGGGAAGAAAAGTGAAAGATCTGGTTTCAATCTGAGTGCAGAATATAAGCCTAGGCTCGCATCTTAAACTGTCTTGCTTCTTTTTATATATTCTTCTCAGTACTAATGGTATAAACTAGTGACTTTAGAGGTTTTGAATGTACCTACATAATATTTTCCAAGGTAAAGGTTTTGAATGTACCTACATAATATTTTCCAAGGTAAAGACATCTTTTAGGTTTAAATGTCAAGTGACTGTGGTTATTTCTTCATTGTTACTAAGTTGCTTAGCCACTTAATTGGACTGCTCTAGGCTTTGGCATCCAGAATGTAAATTTTTACATACTGCACAGCAAGTCTTTGCGGAAAAGAAGCTGTTGTATTCTGTTGAATACCGTAATATTAATATAGTGTTTATGCATTGTCAAACAAAATACATGTTGAATGCTGCTGGTATTATTGCTTAACAAAGTTAAACCTTACAGGTTCACAAAAAGAGGCTTGTTAGTTATTTTTTTTTCCTAAATCAGGGATTTTTGTTGAGGTAGAACTATTATCTGACTTCTGTGAAATAAATGAATGAAAGACTTGCTAAAATAATCAGCTACCCTAATGGTTTCTGAAGTTTTTCAGAATCTTTGATATTATTTGACTGCAGTGGAATGTTGATGGGATCTGACATTTTAGAAATACTGAGTACCTGTGGCCTCACATCAAATCAGAAGGGCCTGTGGAAAATAAATGTTTTTGAAAGGCCTGCAGCAAAATCCTTTTGAAAGGATTTGCAGCAAATAAGCCTAAAGAGAAATACTTGTACTGTATATCTGAGAATCCGATGTTGAGGTAGTTGTTTTGCTCGTGCTTAGTAAGGTGATGTTTGCATTTTCATTAGTTCAGTGTAGCAATTAAAAAGTAGAATTCAGAGCAGTAGATGCTGCCTGCCATCTGTAATTGGTAAACTGCATTTTCTTAGGACTATTGAGCTGTGTTAAACAAAAAGAGGCTTGTTTAGGGTGTATACTATTGCTGAGTAGAATTTCTGTTCATATTATTTTAACTGAATTGTTTGAGTTTTACTGTATGGCATATGTGTATAACAAGAATGGTAGGTATTTACAAATTATTATCGGTAGAAGGAAGAAGGGTATTAAATAGTAATGCAAAAATTTACTCCTCTTTTGTGATTTTTAGGAAATATTATCTTTTTTTCTTATTTATCATTCAGGTTTTCTTTCTGTCAATACCCATTTATTATTTCAATAGCAGCAAAAAAAGTTATTATTCAAAGGGATTCAGAACAACAGATGATAAGTATCGCACGGGTAAGTTATTCAGGGATATATGTTTGTGTATAATCCATGATAATCCTTTAAGTTTTTGGCTAAATGTCCTATAGGACACTTCATTACAAAATCTCGTGTTTAGAACTACCCTGAAATGTACTTGAGCTGTTTTGTAATTACTAGTCTATAAATAACATATTGAATGCTTTTAGATTTGGTCTTGTTTTTAGGGTGCTTGGCTTCAGAATGCTCTTTAATAGTGGTATGGGAAGTAAATTTCAGTAAACTTTTTCTTAGCTTTCTTTGAGACACTAGCTCGACCAATTTAGTCAATAAGATAATTAAGGAAAGAATGAGAATTTATCCTGAAAAGTGTGGTCCACTGACAGTTTATGTGTAAAGATGTATGGGCACTGAAGATGAAGATGCAACTTTGTTTGCAAGGCACGGAAGAGGTCTCTTTCTGGGCTCTTCCTTTCCTTTTGAAAGAGACTTTTGTCTCCCTCCTTTGTTGGTGACTTCCTGCAGATGGTAGGTGCTACGGGTTTCCCCAGTATTCAATGTGGGAGCAGCACATCCCAACTACTGTCCTGCTGGACCAGCCCTCTGATAGATATGTAAAATAGGCCAGTCTCTGGAGTCTTGTGGGTATATATCTTTAACATTTTGAGGAATTTAGAAGATTTATGCCACTTTCTCTTTTAGACTTCCTGGTAAGTTTGCTATAATAAGGTGTAAATAGTATATGCAGTGGAAAAGAGATTGTATTGCTATCTGCCTTTTGCAAGTGTTGAAGCAGCTGTCATATTAGGGTAATGTGTCTCATGCAATATACTAAAGATTTCCTACGTTTAGTCAGTGATGCCTTGTTTTTTTAAATGAAGATGCAAGTGAGATGTTTCTTTTCCATTCAAATAGCAAAGCCTTGTGGACAAAGTCTCTCGCAGACAGAAACCTGACATGAATATGTTGTTCCTAAACGTGAAAGTGAGGAGGATGCACCTTGTTAGTGATTCACTTGATGAGGTATTGCAAATATAATTAAATGGAGTGATACTGCCAAGTAGCTATTGGACTGTGATTTCAGTAGAAGTAATTTAAATCTTTCTGTGCAAAGAGCTGGTAAATATAACTTCATAATGTTAAATGAAAGTAGCAACTGAATTTTTGTGTCAAAACAACAGTGGTGCAGAATAGAGTTGGACATTCTGAACTTCTTTGTCTTTATGCTTGTTCTATAGCTAAACCCACAATGAGAGTGCATGTTTGTTTGCATGCTACACAGCCTGTTGGTGTGCTTGTTTTTATTTTTTTCCCTAACAATTCTGTACATAGTTAACAAATTATGGTAATATACTCCATGGTAGAAGCACTGAGACTAGTCTAACCACCAGGTGGATTGGTTCTAATGTAATTCTTGAAATACTTTTATTCTTCCACCAATTTCTCTATCCTATAATATTTATTTTAGACTTCATTAGGGTCATATCTTCATTTTAAATTTCTCATGCTCCTAATATAATTCTTTTCCCTTTTTAAGAAAAAACATGTGTCCATGGAAACTTTTAAAATTAACAATACAAAATAAAATCTCATTTGTACCTCCACGGGGCGGGGGGGGGGCAGGAGGGAACAGACTGATGATATTGAAAAAATGTTTCAAATGGTGAAGAGGTGAGGAAACCAAACTGTCTTGATATGTTTTCATGTTCAGAAAACATAAGATTAAACTTTTCTGTCAGATTAATGCCAGTCTTGTCTCCTAAAATTGAAGAGCTATGAACTGCTTTATCTGAGGCATTGTAGTTTTTTATTTATCACACTGGCAAAATTGTGAAAAGCTACACAAATTCCAAAAGGCAAAACCTGTGCCTGTTTATTTCTAATAATTTATTCTGCCAAGCTCAGGGATGAATAAAAATATACTGTAAAATTCATATGCTCTCAAAGGAGTGGGGATTGGAAGGGGGAAGGGATGTTTTATTTTGTTTTGTTTAAAACTTGAAAAATCATTTGCAAAGGGAAACTACTTCAACTATTTTAAAAAAAATCAAATACAGATATCTATACATATAAAAGTTAACACACCTGGAATTTACTTAAGCAGCTGAAAACTATAGTTGTTTTAGCACATGCATCATCCTAATTGATTTAAAAGCTTTTTCTGGAGTTGGACAGTAATTACTGTTTTAGAGGAAAATTGGACAGCAACATTATCTGGATGGTCAATGCTAATTGTGAAAGGCTGTAATCTTGCTCTTTGCAGAACACTTGCATACATAGATGAAATGCTGCATGTAGTCTTTTAGGACAAAGTAATGAAAAAAAGGTGTTACTATAGTCTAAAAGCTAGCTTTGCAAGACAGTTGGTATTTGCTGGCAGATATCCTGTGCTGAATAGAAGTGTGTCCAAATGTTGACAATTTTAGTTACCACCTTATTTGCTAAACACCTCCAAAGCAAGGATAGGATGCAAAGATGTGTGTGGTGCATGATGGTTTTTTCCCCCTTTTTTTTTTTTTTTTTTTTTCCTTCCCCCTGCCCCATTCCAGACAGACTCAGTTCCAGGGCTTCTAGACTCTATTATCTTGTTAAGAGGCTGCTTTGCAAACAGTTTAACTGTTCCTCTAGTCTATGTAGAGACATTCCATGCAAGTAAGTCGATGGTGTCAAGAGGTCATAAGACCTGCTTCTCCACATGATTTTTTTTTATATAATGCAGTTGTGATAGGAGATGATGCAAATTCCTAGTTTAGAGCTTCCTAGTGAGAACAGTAGAAATGAGAAAGCGTATTCTTTGTGTATAGATGTCCTTAAGTTGTGATAATGTTGTGTGCTTTTTTTTTTTTTTTTTTTTTTAAATCCCCCTACGTTGTAATAGTTGGCAAGGAAGAGGGCAGATCTGAAAAAGAAGTTGAAAGTCACATTTGTGGGAGAAGCTGGTCTTGATATGGGTGGCCTGACAAAAGAGTGGTTTCTCCTTCTAATTCGGCAAATTTTTCATCCAGACTATGGTGAGTCCACATATTTGTTCTAAGTCCAAGCTTTAAAATTGTTCATTTTAAGTTACCACAGGGATGATGGATAGGAAGTTTTATTTATCTCCAGTATCAGGCAAATTATTAATATTGTGCAAACAAAAGAAGGCATGTCACAAATTTAGTTGGGAAGAATTTTAGCCCTAGAAGATAGTGGAAGAGAGTGGGACTTATTGCAGAACTCGAAAGACTCTGAATTTTGACAAGGTGGTTTGAGTGTCCTTGAGAAACTGAGACTTCATTTCAGTGGCATGACAAAATGAGAAGATGAAGAAATCTCTCGTCATTGGAATTAGAATGAAAAGTAGGATTGTGCCTTTTAGGACTTCAGTCATGAGAAATCTCATCTTGTAAACCAGAGGCTCAATGTCTGTGTTTCATTATAATCCCTTGGCTAGTGACTACTTGAGTACACAACAGGCAGGATTCCAGGCTAGCAGTGGGCTTGAGAGGAGAAAAAAAAAAAAATCCACTGATGCATTTGTTGCAGATGGGGAAAGGGCATGAATTATTTTATGGAATGGGGCAGAGATGGTTTACATCTGTTACAGCTTAGGTGGAATTGGGCTTTTGAGCAGGCCCTGTGAGTTTCTTTGCTGAGTAGCTCTTATGGGGGTAGTGAATGGGCGGTTAGTTCTTATGGGGATTAGTTTACAAACTGAGAGAATAACCAAAAGTCATTCCAGGCATTCAAATATTGGTGTTTGTCCTTGGAAATCTCCCAAGATAAATACAAGTGTACATGTGGAGGATTGTTGCACCTTGTGAAGAAACATACTCAGTCTGGGATGCAGTGAGACAACTTTGTTCTCAAACCAACTTCTTTTATACTCTTTTAACACAAGTGTTGTGAAACTCACAACCAATCAGGATCTTGTTCCCATGCCAGCCGTGCAGTTGCGGTTATCTTTTCCTTGCTTTGTTCCTTATCTGCTGACAAGACATTCTCCACGCGATTGCAGTCCTCCTCCTTTTCCTTCTCTGCTGATAGGACATCCTGCACTGCTGTCCTTGAGGTTAATTATTGACTACCAAGGCATCGGGTACTATTGTCCTTGAAGCGGGCCTCCACATTTCCCCCTTCTTTATATAACTGATGTATTGCCATAGATGTTTTTAATTGAGCAGCCATAACTTGATTGATTGATTATTTAACCGTTAAACACACAATCAGAAACAAAGCAGACACAGTAACAAAAAAAAAAACAAAACAGTACAATAATTAGAAACTTTACAGCTTGCATTGACATGGCTAAGCAAAAGGTTGTTTAGTTTGTTGCGTTTACTCCCATGGTTTGATTCCAACAAGCATAACGGTGTCCTTTTCCCAAGGCTGCTCTACCAGCGCTCTCGAGTCTGCCCTTGAGACTCCCACCTGTCCCCCTTTTTTATTTATAAAGAATGCTCGTTTTAAGGTACGGTCTATTAAACATTGCCTTGTTTTTAACAGGCATGGGATACAAATTAAAAGGCAAGCAAAGATTATTAAACACATCAAGCTTATTTGCAATATCCCCTTAATTCACACGGCCAATCCTAAATTCCCAAAAAGATTCCAAAGAATATTGAAACCATTGTCTTGACATAACTTCTGCACTCCTTGTAAGTTTTCAGTGCTCTTATGGATGGATCCCAAAGGGTCAGATATTTCATGCAGCAGAGACCATCAATATCTTGGCATCCATGACCTTATACAGTAAACTTTATCATTCCTGCCCTGCTTGTAGCATACAGGATATCTGCGGGCGATTCATAGTTATCTGTTGAGTCCAAAAAGTCTCAGGTTGTCCTGTGAATCCAAAAGGACCTGTGCTGCATTTAGTTTTTGCAGCATTTCGTATCTGTGTTAAAAAGTCTGCTAATTGTGCTATTCGGCTTCCCGGTGGTACAGTGCATGGTGGTATCGGAGTGCATATCATTATCTTAATTTCTCCTTCAAAATTAGCATCGATAACTCCAGATAACACAAATAGCCCTTGTCTTGTTTTTGAAGATCTCCTGATTAGCAGTGCTGCCATTCCTCGCCCCGGGGAGCAGTGGACGCCACTTGGAATTAGCACAACTGATGTATCAGTAATTATCACTTGTGTTGCGGTGGCCAAATCCACCCCGGCGCTGCTGTCTGTGGTGGTGGTGCACAAGCGGGGGCTGCTTCCCGGGGGGCTGCTCCGAGGGGTGATTTGCTGTCGTACCCTGCCCCCTCGCCGCGTTCTGCTTGAGGTTTCCTGAAGGGACCAATGGTCAACCATCTTTATCAAATTTTGATTGTCACCGATTAGCATCGTGTCGTCCTTTGTGACAGCGCGGACATATTCCGGGTGCTCCACCTTTATTCATTTTTGCTTTTGGGCAATTTTTTCAGACATGTCCAAATTGACCACAGGCAAAACACGGATTTTTCATTGACATTGTCGCAAGTGCTACAGCCATGAATGAATACTCATATAATTTAGAACCAACATTAATACATGCTTTCAACATACTGTCAATGGTGGGATCTATCAGAGGCCATAAAACCTTCTGGCCATCGGGATTAGCATTTTCAATCGCCAGTCGTTTGACAATGAAGAAGCACAAAGCTACATTTTTAATCTGCTTCTCCAGCACCTCACTAAGCCGATCCAGAAACTTCATATATGGTTCATTCGCATCTTGTCTTATACTTATAAAAGGCTGTTTTTGTTTACCAACCTCCAGGACAGCCTTAAGGGCACGGGGAGCAAGTGCCTTAACTTGCTGCAGGCCCTCAGGGGGAGTTCCTGCTTGTGCTGTTGCAGTACTGTGGTCACCGTCCCCCATTAGCATGTCCACAGTAACAGCCCATAAAGGGTTTCTTTTCCTTCTCCTGTGCTTCAGCAAGCTGTCTCATTTTTGACTCTTGCGTTGTGTACTGCTTATTGGTCGTAATTAGGCAAAACAAAGTTTTAAAATCAGGGGGAGTAAAAACCGAAATATCACAAAGAGATTGTGTAAGATGCGTGGCATATGGTGCGCCAAGGCCATGATCTGTCACTGTGCGCTGTGCATCCTTAGTAAGATTGTATGATAGGCCTTCCCAAAGTGGATCTTGATCTGGGGCATACGTTACAGGAAAAGCCTTCAATATCTCTACATCCCCCGCCTGTTTTGCACCCCTCTTCACTGAGGCCCATTTATCACATGGATCTGTGGGGTATAAATCTGACTCTTTTTCAGGGTCAGTAGGACTCAGGTCAAAAGGGTCATCGTCCGGGTCACCAGGCGTCAGTGCCGCGAAGGCTTTTGCAGCGGGTTTTCTTTCCTGATTTCACACCGGGACATGGCCGGGTAGCAGCGGCGCAGGTGGGATCGTAGCAGCCCGGGCCGTGTCATCCGTGACCAACTGCGAGCCATTATAGGATTTCAGTGTTTCAAATATGACATGCCACTGTGGCAACAGGCCAGCAGCAGCCTGAGCACCATGCATGGCACTGTCCCATGGTCGGACCCCAATTTGGTCCCACCTCTCTGGATCAAATACATTGTTACTGTTTAGAGAAGAGTCATTTCTAGATGCCGAGGCAAGGACCTTTTGTAGATCTTCCTCATCTATTTTCTTGCGCTGTTGTTTTAAGATGTTAAGAAATACTTCTAAAACATCTTTTTGTTCCTTTGTCAGATGTGACCCCATAGTCCCAGGCTGTTTACCTCTTTCCTTTCAAGAGGTTTTGATGTGCGCACAAAATTTGCTTCCTTTCAGCTTGATCCTTATGATTCTTTTCAGCGTGAATCCTGGAGTTTGGCTGGGTGGTACAACTGGAAAGACAGCTGGTCTTCAAGCCCTACATTGGGCACCATTTGTTTCACCTTATGAAGAAACATACTCAGTCTGGGATGCAGAGTGAGACAACTTTGTTCTCAAACCAACTTCTTTTATTCTCTCTTAACACAAGCGTTGTGAAACTCACAACCAATCAGCATCTTGATCATGTGCCAGCCATGCGGTTGCAGTTATCTTTTCCTTGCTTTGTTCCTTATCTGCTGACAAGACATTCTGTACTGCCGTCCTTGAGGTTAATTATCTACTCCCAAAGCATCCACTACTATTGTCTTTGAAGCGGCCTCCACAGAGAATGTTTCAGTTTTTGGAACAGGCATAAGAATTATCTCATTAATTCACTATGTTCTTTGGTTGAAGTCAGAGGATGGTATTCTTATTCCAAAAATAGAGGGACACATAACTGCCTTTGAGGTAGGTAGCTTAGTAGATGCTCAGGAGCTTGTAAGATCAAATGTATTTGTTCTAACCTGCTGTTCTTGACTCTTACTTTTCATGGTCTGCTTTACTCTGCGCTCAGCTCTCCTCATGTTGTTGCTTTAGAGAATCTCCTCACATCTCCCTGTTTTTCAGAAATAACTGGTTGGGTGATGTTACCGTGCAGGGTTGTGGCAAACTGCTGATTCTGGTGGCCAACCATTTATCAATTGCTTCAGTTTCACTGATAATTTAGTGTCTGTAAACTCCAGCACGACATCTTTGTGAAAAATAGAGTTTAGGTCGGTCTTGAATATTTGTTGTTATATGACACCTGCTAGTCCTTTATAGAGCACAAGAGCTTGTTTGTCTGTCTGGAGGTGATTATGCCCTACAAACACATTGTACTTGGTCCTTATAGGATTCCTTTAAAAAAAAATCTACAGTTTTAAGCCAGAAATATCTCATACCTGCTGAGACCATTATTTACTTAGACCTCTTTTCTAGTTTTAAAAAAAAAAAAAGGGGGGGGGTCTATGTGGAGAAGTAGCATTAGTAATAACAAACTTAATAGGAAACAATTTATCTTGGAGAAACTGTTCAGTAAGCTTGACAGTTTTGTTAATAAAAACGTGTTGTCAGCAGAGCTTGCTAACTGATGAGTTTGGAAACATTAGAGAGTAGGTTTTTTCACCATCTTTGGCAGGTTTTCTCACTTTAAAGTGTAAATTCTTTCAGTGATACGAATATCAGCCAAGTAAGGGAGGAGAGTTGGAGTTGCTCTCGTCCCTTGTAAAGGGACTGTATAATCTGCTGTCTTTAGTGCTTAAATTGCAAATAGTGTCTGCCAGGGAAGTTTGGAAGGATGAAGGGCCTTGTTGTTACTGCCTGTGTGTGTGTGTGTGTGTGTGTATGTATAATATATATTTGTTTTTTCCCTAGGAGTTTGATTGTTTTATCAATCTCTATTTTTTTTCCCTGCCTTTCAAAAGGAAATGAAACTACATGCTGCATATTAGATATCCTGAGGACCATTTAGTGCTTTTGTTTACACGGTGACTGTGAAAACAATATTAAATTTCAAGCCCATTCAGTCTCAACAAATTAAAACATGCTATCCAATATAGTTATGGATTGAAGTTAATTTTGCTCTTGGCGCTTGCTTAACTAGCATATAAATTATTTTTCTTGCTGCTTTGACAATTTTTTCTGCTTCTTAAAGCTGTTATGTTGTTTCGTTGCATAGACTTTTCCTTTCTGTTGCTCTTAAAATTAAAATCTGATGTAAATAGTCATATCATTTTACAGTCCTGATTTTCATAGGCTCTAACTTATAATTTAGGGCAATGGCAGTTTTGATATTTATTTATTTATTTTAGTTGTCTGGGGTTTTTTTTGTTTTATAACTTCTTTAATTGAATTTTTAGCCACATCAAATTTGAAGAATACTCCTTTCTTGCTAGTGTGTATATAAGAAAGACTTTATACAGCTGTCTTCTAAGGTTGGTAAAGCTTGCAGTTTTTGCATTGTGGAATTCATGCCACTGTTTTTAAAGATTGTGTTTTGCTGTTGATATTGGCAGGCAGGAAAAGGTGGGCTTACAGTACAGTACAGAAGTTTTAGGGATAGTTACATCTCTGACTGGACAGATTATAAAGCACTGAACTAGGTGTCATAGATGGGTGAGAAGAACATCTGCTGTTAGAGGTACTGAAGCATCTACTGCACAAATGCCCATCAGGAGTGATGCCTCTGATCCCGCTTTGGAGCTGCACGTGGTGATCCTTGCTGTGAGACTGTCCACTGCTTCTCCTGTGGAAGGGTGGGCACAGGATTGAAAGCAAGCCTGGAGATATATGCCAATAGACACACTTGTAAGGGTGTATCTGCGGAAAAAAAAATGGTTTAGCATGGGTTTTTATTGAAGCTTTGCAATGAGCATCTTTCCTGTGTTTACAGGTATGTTCACGTATCACAAGGATTCCCACTGCCACTGGTTCAGCAGCTTTAAGTGTGATAATTACTCTGAATTCCGGCTGGTGGGCGCTGTATCCTTTACCTTCGCTAGAAGGTGCTGTGTGAACATGTAGTTAATGAGCCCCGACCCAAGCTCGTGGGGCACCAAGAGCTGCTGCCACCTCCTCCTGGTGCCCTGTACGCAAGGATGCTGCACTTCGAGCATCTAAAAAGAATCTCATTCAAGCAGAAGAGCTAAAAACAGGAAGAAACTCATACTCTTGTTTATGTATGAGTGTGTGGTACAGTTTGAATTAAGAAATTGCTAGAATTAAGATTGCAGGAGCAACTTCTTATGCATACGGGTTCATTTTTTACAGAGTTAGGTTTTCAGTGTCATTCGGTAAACGTAAGTGACCCTGCGTACATCAGTGTTTCATTAATTCATTTAAATCCCTATTAACAGTATGTGTGTGTTTGAGGCTGGGCGATTAACTGAGTGGAAGCCAAATGCTCTCTTGAACATTGGTTTATTTTCTAGGGTTTCTGTTGTGCCAAATGATGAAGTTCTCGACATGTTAATAATGAGATGACGATGTCCCCATTTTACTAACAGAAAACTGAGTTGGGCCTACTGTGCTAATTTTTGGTCTAATTCAAATTTGTACTCCAAATTGTTAGCTCAGGTAATTCATTATTTAATGTTTTGATACCTCTTATTTAAACAAGATAAAGAGCATAGAAGGCATTGCCTCATTTATCAAGAGATACACTTAAGTCATTAATTAACATGAGTATGGGGCAAAGGGACCAAATTGAATGATTCATCTACTTAATTGAAACTAATTGACAATTATGCTAGCTTTGTGTTTGTTTTACATGTTTAATATTTGTGACAAAGTGTGGGATATTTCTTGAGTTTAAGTTGCCCTCAATATGAAGCTAAAACAGTTGGGCTACAAATCTGGCAGTAAAAATACAAGTCTGAGTAGAGAAAACAGTTTATTGTACATGCAAGTTTTAACTAGAATCTTGTTTTCTCCCACTCCTATTTCTGCAAACTCTGTGACTATAATGTTTTGTCAGATATTTCTAAATGGGCTAGTTGATGAACTGTAGTGCCAGCACAGGCACTTTCATGTTTTTAATTTTATTCAAAAGAAAAATTACTTTTTCCATCTTTCTGGATTTTTTGGATTAAAAAAATCTATATCTGTAATTATACTTCTTTCCCAAACAATATTATCAAAACAATACATTGAAACAATTGCTTCAGGGAATACTTTTATCAGACATTATGACAAAAGACTTCAGATCTTTTTCAGTATGTAACTTGACTGCTTTAATTATTACCTAATGGAAATATAAAATGGTGTTCAAAGGAATGTCAGTCCAAGAAACTTAAATAACTTCTGTCAGTTTATTTGACATGCGTTAGAGTATACTCAGGAAATATTAGAATATTTTTTTCCAAATTAATTAAAGTACTAACTACAGTAAAGATGCGAGTTTTTCTTCCCTTAACCTTTGACCTGTGTAGCTTATGGGACTTGCTGTATATAACAGCATCACCTTGGATATTCGTTTCCCACCTTGCTGTTACAAGAAACTGTTGAGTCCTCCCATTGTTCCCTGTGATCATAATACACTTGTAGGCATCTGTGATGTTACATTAGAAGACCTGATTCAAGTTATGCCAGTAAGTATTAAGTGTTTTTAAAGGCTAAATTATTATTTAGTCTGTCTTACTTAACTTAATGCATGATTCATAGACAGCTTCACAACAGCTGCTTAATTTGCACTGACTGATAAACAGTCTCCCTTTTTCCATTGAACATAAAAATTCTCCACCTTCTTTAGCATGGTAGAATTTTAAAGATCTGCTTTACCTGAAGTTAGAGTACTAAAGTTCAGCATGAATGCTCTGGACATATCTTCCATAGTTAAAAGGAGAATTAAAGAAAATTTAACAGTTTAGATTGAAATGAAAGGGAAGAAAAAAAAAAAACTTTCAAATACACTATTTAGGCACTGTGGATTTTTTGTATGAATATACATTTTGAATAGCCTTTTTATTTATTTTTTTTTTCCCCTCCCTCCAAGACTCATTGTACGCTTTGTACGGAACAACAATTCTGATATGCCCATGGAAAGCACATCCTTTAATGTTGCGAGCTTACTAAAGGTTTTTTACTGTTGTTGCAGGAATTGGCCCATGGACTAAGTGAACTTCTAGCCTATGAAGGCAATGTTGAAGAGGATTTTTACTCAACCTTTCAGGTCATTACATACATGGCTATTAAGTGATTCTCAAACCTCCTCAGAAATTTGTAGCCAGTGTTTCTCTGTTGTGCAGCGGCCCACAAAGCGTGCTTGTGCACAGCCTGGCGTGTAAGGGGCTGGGGAGGAAGGACAGCTCCGTTGTGAGGATGAGCAGAGCCCCTGGGGTTACGCACGCCGCAGCCCACCCCATCTTGCAGGGCTTCCAGCTGGGCCTTTGTGGCTGCTCAAGTCAGTTTGAGTGTTGACTGCCAGGGTCCCACCTCCTGCTGGTGCTGCATTTCTAGCTTTTTGCTTCCTATGGCACCATCACCTTGCAGTCCATGACTTAGACCCTGGAATTGTTGCAAGTTGTAACGTTTAATTAAAAAAAATATATCCTTATAATTGCAACATGCTCTAAACAGAGAAACAGATTAATATTTATAGTAATAAAGAAAAGCTTTGTCCTCTGTGAGTATATGAACATGTTCTCTGGCACTGAGCTTAAATCCTCTTTCCCCAGGTTTTTCAGGAAGAATTTGGTGTTATAAAATCTTACAACCTAAAGCCAAATGGAGATAAAATTCCAGTTACAAATCAGAATAGAAAAGGTACTTACGATACATATTAATTACACAGCCTTGACATACCTAAATATATCAATTTATCCCTTTATACTTTTACGTTTTGTTTGACAAAGTGTGAAACTGAAATTCTTAAAATTCTTTCTGGTATACCCACCAACTTTAATAGTATCTTAACTGTACCTGAATAACATCTGTTCATCTTTAGAAATTCAATGCAATTTGAATTAGTACAACAAATGATTGTCTAAAACTTTTATGTAACAAAAAAATTAAAATGTTTTTCTCTTTAGAATATGTGCAGCTTTATGTTGATTTTCTTCTCAACAAATCAATCTACAAACAATTTGCAGCTTTCTATTATGGATTTCATAGTGTCTGTGCTTCATATGCGCTACTGGTAAGAATAAAGTAAAGCAGAATTTTTCACTACTGTTTCAATCATGTGAAAATGTCTAACGATGCCAGTTACTCTCAGTAACTCCAGTGGTTGCTTTTAGGGTTCATAAAGAATCTTGATTAGCCCGTGTAGCTGAGAAAACCTCTAATTACAACTGCACAGAGATGTTTGTTTTGATTCTGAAGAGTCGCAGGTTCAGACATAGTTTTTTTGGTGCTCTTTTTGTTGTTCAGCCCACCAGTAATTTTACAAGAGAAGAGGGAAAATAACAAAATAGTAAATGTCACAAATTGAGGACCCTATTTAACAGTAATGTGCTTGTGGAATAGAGTAGGGGAGATCAGAGTAACACAGTAGACCACAGCCAAGTTATGCCTAACTACTTTAAAGAATAAAATTCCATTATTTGTAGGGTGTGTAATGCACTGGGAGCAGGTTTGCAAGCATCCCACGAGTGCAAGAACAGAAGTAATTAAGCAGGCCACGAGCTGATATCTTTAGCGATCCTTCAGAAATGGATAAAAAACGTCCACCAATTATTTTATATTTAACAGCATGTATTTGCTGACAGTTCGTAAGCTCTCGTGTGACCATTCCCAAGGATTGTGTGTATTGCCTACGGTCATACGCAGCAAAGCTCCAGACACCCATGTTAACTTCTGCAGGAAGAATAATCAAAGCGACTGATGATAGATTCTTGTGTATTCAGTCCTATTTGGCTGTTGGAATATCTTTTATATTTTACATTGTTCCTTGTGCAGTAAGAAGAGAAGGAAGAGACGATTATAATTTGCATGAGAATTTCTGCATTCCTGTGAAATTAGCCAAATATGACATACTTGCAGCAAAGTGAAATGTGACGAACTGCAAGGAAGTTTCAGGAAGGAGCCTGAAAATCCATTGAAATGCCATGAAGTACTTTCATGCAGCTTAACAATATTGTAGTAAATGATTAAAAAGTAGGTTCTACTAGTGTAAGTTTAGCAGTCATTTAACATGGTTTATTGTTTTATGTATTGCCATTGCACACTAGTGTTTATAATGAAGAACCAGGTGCCCTCTGCCGCTGCTCCTTAACAATCCATCTTGGATATAAATAGAAATAGTGGGGTTTTTTGTTTTTTTTTTTTAAAAAAGGACCCATTTGTAATATAACTGGAAGACAAGCAAGTCAGTGTAATAAATGTAACAATGGTGAAGAAGTAAGTAAAAGAAATATGCTAAAATACCATGTTTTCCAGTAACTTTGCTTTTTACTATATATGTAGTAAGGCATTCATCAATATTCAGAAATTTATTTTTCTATGAAACAAGGTCAGATCAAAGTTATAAATTTATCTTTGAATACTATTAAATTTCTATAGTGCCAGCAAAATATCGTAAATATTTTTTTGTCTGAATCTTGTAGCATCTCTTTTCATCTTTAATAAAAATTAAATATTTTGCGATTAATTTCTGACAGCTACTTCGTCCAGAAGAGGTTGAAATTCTTGTCTGTGGTAGTCCTGAACTGGATATGTCTGCTTTACAACGAAGTACACAATATGAGGGCTACCAGAAAACTGATCTTACTATACGGTAGGCTCTTTTTTTTTAAAACTTTTCTTTTCTTTCCTTTTTTTTTTTTTTTTTTTTCCCCCTCATACTAAATAGTGAATTTTAGAAAGTATTAAAATGGTAGACTGTTGGGAATAATCTCTTCTTTAAATATAGTCTGAAAATCAATCATGAATGATTGAAGCTTTAAAAATGTGTTACCAAATAAGACAAAAAGACATAATTTATCTGCAAGTAGGAACATTTAGAGCTTTAATATTATAATATGCAGCTGGGTATCTTTAGAAGGATGTAACCAGTTTGAATTGGAAGTAGTCAAAAAGAACCGTAGTTTCAAAATCCTGCATGGTGAAATCTTATCCAATCTTCTAAAAATGCCTTTGTCTACTAATGTTACTTAACATTCAGGATATTTATAGTAGTAGGACAACACTTATTTTTCATAGGTAAGTGGTTTTGGGGCATATTTTGACAGTGCATCATTGCAAAATTCATAGTGTAGTATGTGTCAAATCTCCTAGATTTGTTTCAAACAAATTTACATATTGGGATAGTACTAATGTCCTACTTATTAGTTTAATTAAACTTGTACCTACTTAAAATTCATCATATAATATTTGCAGTCATATTGTTCTCCTACTTTGTCAGGGTATTTCACTTTACAAAACCATTTTATTCTTGTTCTGTCTTGGATACAGATACTTTTGGGATGTAGTACTTGGATTTTCTCTTGACCTTCAAAAGAAGCTGCTACATTTTGCTACAGGAAGTGATAGAGTACCTGTGGGAGGAATGGCTGATTTGAATTTCAAGATTTCAAAGAGTGAAACCTCCACTAATTGGTAAATAATTTTCGGGATATTTTTTATTTAATTCTTAAATTCTTTCTTAAGGAGTTCTTGTTGCTCTTCAGTGCTTTAGTAGGAGGAAAAAAAAAAAAAAAGGCAAACAAAACAACAAAAAAGCCACCCTAACTTATAAGGGAGAAAAACTGTACAATCTCTTCTAGATTGTCTTCAAAATGTTGTCAAACCCATTTATTGAATAGCTAAATTTAGCAGATGATTATCTAATACAAAATCAATTCTCCAGGCGGTATTTACTCTGGAGTCCAGGAATTACTTATTTATGAAGATTTTCCTTACATGTCTTCAGTACAAAGAAACTATTAGCTTTAATGTTCCTAGCATGACAGCTGAGTTAATTAAAATACACTGTGAATCACCATAATTTTTTTCTGAAATCATTGAGTCTGCTTGTCATAATGAATAGCAGCCCATGCAGCTGCAGAAAAACATTTACGTTATTTCTTGACGGGCTAAATAAGGATTTTAACATGTATGACTGGTAAAGACGTAGTGTTCCTTTATGGTCTCCGGTGAGTAAGTGAATTGCTAATGCAGAGGTTGCTCCAATGCACTAGGAACAAAGCAGCCTATAACTTCATTGTGAAAGTTAAATTGAAGCTCCTGACAAGTGCTTAGATTTCTGGTGGTTTTATTTGTATTGAAGTGAAATTGAAAAAATTCCTCATACTTTCCAGTTAATATTTTCCCTCTCAAGAATGGAGGTATTCTGTTTAATTTGGAAGGCTGTCTCCAAAAGTTACTGGTTCTGAAGCTTCCTCAGCAAAAACGTCTGGCTTACCCTCCTTTCTCAAGCTTGCAATATAGTTCCTTTTAAGTGTTTTCGTTATGTTTCTAGAAGGTCACAGTTTTGATGGTTTTCATGGAGCCCTGAGCTATGTACATGCCATCTCCATTTTTGTTGTTAAATTTTGTCCATATCATTGCTAAAGCTTTATTCAAATAACTGATTGCCCCAGTATGTTAACTGAACATAAGGATCTGGTTTAAAAAAAAAAAAAAGAAAATTCTGTCATCTTTGAATTTGCTTAATTTCACTCTGTTGTTACTTGCTGCTTTTCTTGAAACTGGAAAAATATGTATGTAAGCAGTATGTGTGCTGGAGCTGTGCAGGTCTGTGTGTTAGGAGACACTCCGTGCAGTCAGCTGCGCGCATCGACGGGCACCACATCGCTCACGCGCAGGGATCAGGGAGAGCTCTCCTGCTTGTCACCTGAGTGTGTAAAGGGCGGCAAGATCCCAGAGTTTCTGCCTGTGCTGTAAGGCTGGCCCTGCTGACATCTAGTATTGATGACAAACTAAACATTTCTAAGAATAGTTCTTACCAAACTAAGCTGTCTTAGTGATGTGTTTGTCAGGCAGTCTGACGAGACTCCTACAAATATATGCCAGCTCAGCTTCCTAGAGAATCTCACAAGTTCAAAAATTGGTTTGACTAGGGCCAAAATTCTGGAACTCTTGTTTTCCCAGGGATTCAGTGAGCTCCTCGGTATTGCACTGACATATATGTCTGCATGGATGTATCTCACCAGGCTGAACTTCCAGCCTTCGGTATCCTTACGGTAACTCTGGTCTGGCTAGCTGTGTCCGTGCCTACTGCATGCTCCACTTCTTCACATTGTGGATTTTGATTATTCCAAATTTATTACTGAGTGTTTTATACGATGAGTCTGTGTATTATATGGCAAGCATCTCTAAATGTAGAGAAGACCTGATTTTAAGTTGTGTGGCTACTCGGAGTTTGGAAAACCTCTTAGGAATGTTTCCAACTTAACCAAAAAGGAGGGGAATGGGATTGCAAGCAAAGAAACCAGGCTGAGCACCTGAGGTGCAGGTGACTAGCAGTACCGGTGTTTATATTTCCAACATAACTTGAAGACTAGCACTAGCGTGAATGTTTATTTTATAAGGTTTCTTTCTGAAAGGAATGTTTAAATGGAAATGTGTAGGTAAATGACAGTCCTGCTTTTCTTGTATTATATTGAGTGCTTTTTTTTTTTTTTTTAAGGTTACCTGTGGCTCATACCTGCTTCAACCAGCTTTGCCTCCCTCCTTACAAGAACAAGAAAGAGTTGAAGCAAAAGTTGATAATTGGGATTTCAAATGCAGAGGGGTTTGGTCTAGAATGAGAGAAAATACTGCAAGAACAGCGTTTTTATGTAGCATTCACTATCTTCTAATTGTGCCTTTAAGCTTTTCATTGTTATGTCTCTTGATACTGTGCAAGTCTTACCCAACTTTTTTAAATTAAATATGAAGTGTGTGGGGTTTTTTTGCTGCATAGCAATACATTTACTGCTTGCTTTGTTAGGGAAAGTATTCTTCCAACAAAAAGTTGGTATATTTGTTTAAAAAAAAAAAGACTAAAACAAGTTCTAAGTTATATCTCATTCTTAGTGATTCCTAATAGCACTTTATCATTAACCATAATTACTTTACATCATGGGTATCCTACTGGGAAATAATATACAGAATATTTCTTGATTAACTAATCCCAGTGGTAGAATGTCTTCAATTAACATGAACAGCAGAGTGTAAAATACAGCATGTAGCCATATTTTCAGAAAGGCAAATAGGAATTTTAATCTTTATAAAATGTATGCAGTTTTAATATTATAGTTTTCATTCTCAGTTAAACAAGCTAAGAAGCATGTAAATAACTGCCGGTAAACAAATACAGTTTTGATAGTGTCATTTACTGCTAAAAGTTTATTTTTTATTAATAAGAGGTTTTAAATGTTCTATATTCAGCTTTTACAGATCAGCAGGATTGACTGTACACAGAGGTTAAAAGGTAATTTTCAGGTTAAGTGGACTCAAGTTCAAACTACAGGTACTGAACAATGTCTTTGTTCCTCCTTTCAGATTTACTGTAGTTTCATAGAGTAAACAAAGCCAGATATTTTAAATAAGTTCCTCGTATTAAAATATTTTGGGAAAAGAATGAAATCTGCAACAGAAGAAAAAAATGAAATACAGTGTATCATGCTATCATCCTTTCAGCAACTTTGAAAGTCTTAAGTTATAACATAAATGAATGCAACAACATTCTAGCAGAAGGTTGAAGACCTCATTAGCTTGAAAATCAAACCCCAAAGCCTATATTTGGTAGTTCCCCCTGCATAAACTAAGCTGGAAAAAAATATATATTCTATGCCTGTTCAGAATTAGCAAACTAGAAGCTGGGGAAAAATTGTTCTAAAATGTAATTACAAGTCTACGATTTATTAATTAAACAGAATTTATTAGTATGCAGGGTAGTTTTTTTTTCATATAAAAAGCTACTGGTTGCTCTATAGATTATTTCTGCTGAATGAGACCTAGATCATTCAAGATATTTAGGCATCTAACTTATCACCTTTACCAGTTGACTTCTACTGGGAGTTGGATGCTCAAATATTTTTTTAGTGTCTGTAGTCAATTACTTATTTTCAATAATAGGAAAATAATTCTTGCTTTCCCTTCATTTGCCTACAACCAGCAGATTTTCCCATGGTGAACAAATTCATTTGTCTAAACTGTAGTCCCAAAGCCACTGTGGGTTTTCCTATATAGTTAAGGGTAAATTTTATTTTATTCTCTTACCTAGAGAAGTCAGGGATTTTTTTATTAATTTATTAAAGCAGGGACAACTAGTGGGATGCTTTACAATAATTGGCACTGTATTAATTGTACTCTTACTGAAACAAATACTAAAATTCAGTTACTTGAGCTTGGAAGAATATTAAGATAGCATTGTCTGTGTTAAAAGCAACACTTCAAAACTGGGAATTGTATACCATTTCTTTCAAAAATTGAGATTTTAAAATAGATTTCAATTTGCAGGAATTGAGATGTTAAATTTTTCACCATTGCACTGAATGAACTAGGCAGAAATTTAGAATTGCTTGAACCTAACAGCAGAAGAGGATGTAGGTAAGAAATATGGAATCAAGCAACTCCCTTTTTCCCCCTGTAGAGCTGGAATTGTGGAATGTTGGATCATGAATATCTATACATTTATCTGAAAAGAAGGCACATTAGCCAAAATATTTTTTTATGGCTTAAGCCCAATTTTAATAACTATTTATCTATTATTGTTAAAATAAAAGCTTTATCTTATTTCCACTGAATTGCACTGTATTGGGTTTAGTTTTATTTATTAAAGCTTTTTTGATTTACTGTGTAATATTACCTCAGAATTCTAAAAAGGCTATTGTATTCGCATCAGTTTTTAAATAAGATACTATCATGTAATGACATTTTATATATTTCCTGATGTTAATAAATAGTAAGTTTTGTATTTGTTATATGAAAGCATTGCACTTATTTATGAAATAAGCCTCTGATCACTTAAATTCTTCAATGATTTTTTTGTTGTCCTTTTGTCTTGCCCTGTAATTCAGCAATTCTTTTTATCTCTATCATTGTTTTGTACCGTACTAAAGAAACCTGGTTTGTATAAATTTGTTGATTTACTTAGTATCTATTTTTATGTATTAAAATTGTGCAGTTGTTAAATCAAACATTGCCATTTCTGGCCTTATTTAATTTCAGATTTCCATAATTGATGATAATGGACCTGAAAATCTGATCTGCCATCATCTTCTGCTGTCCTTGATTAAAGGATGCTTTGGTTCTGTTGTAGTCTGCTCATATTAACCCAGAAGAAATGCATCTATTTTCACAGAATCCTTAGCATCTTTACCCTAGTATCTCTGGATGCTACAGCATTATAGATAATGTAGTCTTTGCTGGTACAAGTTAGGCAGTAGCTGTAGACAGTATCAGGACAGAACTGTTTGTAAATGTGGTGTTTATATCATTCTTGCCAATGAATGAGTTGGCCTAGGGTACATATACCAGGTAGTCCAGAATATTCACTAGTTTTTCATTTTATGTCAGAAATTTTACTACCGAGAGCAGGACCTGTGAGTGTTCTGCGCCCTAGATAATCAATAGAGATGGATATAGATTAGCTAAAGCATGATTGTTTTGAAGGCAGTGTGGCTTAAACTCAAATGCATAGATCTTAGTCTTTTTTGACTGTCTTTTGGTTATTTTGGGTAACTTTATGCACCTTGCTTTCAGAGTGCAGCGGCAGCTTTCACACTGCTTGGGGAGCTGAGGGGGTTCAGTACTTGACCTGGAAAGATGGGTAGATATGTCAGTAACATTCTTCATGCTGAGAAGGGAAGACATTGATATTATCATACTTATTTCCCTTCCAAGGAGTCTTTTCACAAGGCTGTCTGGAGATCAAAATGAGGGGTATCCAGCTCACACATTCTGTGATACTAAATGCATCTTATTCATTGTTACACATTTTATTTTGATAATAGAAGTAGTAATTCATCATGGTGGAGAGGGATGCTATACAGCCTCCATAAAACAGATGGCTTTAATATGTTAGAAAAAGCACAGAATTCCATATTTCTCCAAGAGTCTCCCAAGAGAAAATAAAAACAGTTGAGACAATCCAGCTAGCTTTTAGTTTTAAATGAACAGTCTCTATCTCTTCTCTCCAAATAAACTAAATATCAAGCTACCATAAAAAATAATAACGCATTTCACCTTTTTACTTTACTGTTGTTAGTGCTCTATTTAGCAAACTAAACTTGGGATAGATTAATATTTCTTTTAATGCTGCTGTGTTTCCCTAGAAAAGTCATTTCACAGGTCTTAAGGCTCCTATTTCTTTGTATCCATGTCCTGGCTGTGAGAGAACTGCAAATAATATTTGTTTGCTTTGTTTTTCTGTTTAGAATATAGAGTAAGATGGCTGGCAAGAGTGTGTGTGGTTTCTTTAAAAAAAAAAAAAAGTTGAAATAAACTAAAAAGTAAAAACAGGAGGTTTGAGTGACTGGATTTCTTTTGTTTGTTTAGGTTTTTTGTGTGGGCCTTTTGGGGTTTTTTTTTGTAGTTGATGACTTCACCAATCCATTGGCTTGGCAGGATACAGGTAAGAGAACTATCAAGCAATAATTAATACTATGATAATATAATAAATCAATAATTAATGCTATAGAACTTTTCCTTAAAACTAGAAAGATTAAAGGCAAAATAGTAAAAACTTTTCAAAACTTTTCTTTTTGAAAGTTAGTTTCTTCAGCAGCTTGGGTGTTGGCCAGGAACTTACAGCTTCAGGGTTAATGTCTTAGTGAAGTTATTTTAGAAGACCCACTTTTGTTATATTTGCTTCTAAAAGCTAAGCATCATCCTATAATAAAAGTTGTTGAGGCAACATCAGTTCAGCTATGCTAGTAACTGCATTCTAGTCCTCGTTTCCCCCCCCCCTTTTTTTTTGCCTGAACTACTGTTACACAATGGTGTGTAACCAAAAAATGAGTGATGCAACAGGAGCAAGTTTAATATTAAACTGATATTTCAGGAAATTTTTAAGCTTTTTTTTCCCTCTCTCTCCCATCTACTAACTCCTAGCGCGCTAAATGTGTTGGTGTGTATTATTTCTCTTGTATCTGCAGTGGGTGCATTTCATACACTGCACTTAGGAACGTCAAGGTGTCATTCGTTGTGGCATTTTTCGTAGGTGTTGAAAAAAAAATGCCTGCTGATTTTCTTGTCTTGGGAACCTGCAACTTCTCTAGGGTAAAGAATCATCCTATAGCTTATTGTGACCTGTGGGTTATTTTTCTCTCCCCTTTTCAGTGTAGAACTGTGTTACTTTGTGTTTTCTTAAGGAATAAGGTAATTTAGGGGACCTTAACAGACTTCCATCTTCACAAGTGAATCATCTCTTGCATTGATCAATTCTGTGACTAGTTCTCTTGTCCTCGTTCCATCCCCATCTGCATACCATTTGCAGTACAGTTGCATAAATCAAAGTGATTCTAATGTTAGTAAAGGAAAGGAGATGAGTTGTGTGTCAGGGTTGTAACTCCTTGTCTTGTAAAGGCCTTTGGTTTTAAAAGAATGGTTGGAGGTTGTGGTGGGGGAGGATGGGAGAGTTTAGTGTTCATTTGGTCCCTTATGGGTCAGGCTCATCGCTGGTTTTCTTGACAGTCCATCCAGTAGCCCTCAACCTTACACTCTTTTCCTTCCCTGTGTTATTTTCATTTGAACCATTTGAACTTCCCCAGCATGACGGCAGCCGCTCTGTGAGGAGAGCATGTTCCTCCCCAGCTCCGCATGGCCAGGCCTGCTCGCTCCTAGCGACCACCCCCTGCAACCATTCCACCAAGTCAGGCCTCGCCTTCTCCAGATCTTGCAAACAAGAACCCCAGATTTCTTGTTTCAGAGGTTTTTGAGGAGCCAGGTAGAGCATGTGGTTATCCCATATTGCCTAAGGCCTGTCTAGGAGGGGTACGTGCAGGACAGCCCTATGTATTTCAGATCAGTTGGTATTTGGATCTCTTCCCAGTTCTCATGCCTAGCTAAAAGTTGCCAAGCTCCACCTACAGTCATATGAAATTTCATGTGACCCATACAGATCATACAAAATCCCAACTAATTGCACAATAGTTAGACAGTTAACAGTATATCTATGTTGAACCTGGCTACACTGAACAATTTTTAACTAAGTCTGATTTAAATAGTCTGCGTTGTCAGTGTTTGCTCAGCTGGCAAGGCCCAGGATGCTGCCCTAGGAGCCCATCTCAGGTGTCGAGGGCCGCTGGGGCGGCATGCAGGATCCTTCGTCCACAGCGCAGCGAGCGGCCTCTGCTGAGGGGCTGCAGCCCCTCCCTGAAGCCCTTTCTGCCTTCTCAGTTCTTCACTTTGGAATTGCTACTGCTTGTAAATGTCAGGCAGACCCTGAAAGCCAGACACCCGCTGAAGCTCTCTGAATATCTTGCCTCTGTATTCTCTATTTGATTTCCTGCCCTTGTTCAAACAAGTTTTGCTAGAAATTAGCAAGTGGACAGGAATAAAGGAATTATTATGCAGATTTATTACTAAAGTGATGAGATTAGTGACTTGATATTCACCAGTCATTTCTTTTAGAGATAATTATCGGGGGGAGAAAGGGGAAAACTATTTATCTGCTTTTTTATCTTCATTTATTCATATTTTCAACTTCAGTGTATAGATTTATACATGTTCGGGTTAAACATTAATATTAGGGAAGAAAAAAAAAAATAAAATGGAAACCACTATCCTATGTGAAATGTATCTCCATTCTGAATATTCACACAGGAACCAAAATGTGTGGTGATGTTATTTCAACTTGAAATGCCTTTTTTATCTAGTAAATGCTCCTTCCCAAGTCCCTCAAATTCTTTTTAGCACAGTTAGTTTAGGAGGTGAGAATCACAGAGAACTGAACTACATATTTGCAACTCACCTATAACCAAAAAAGGTTTTTTTTTGTGGTCTTTTTTTTTTTTTTTGGTCAGTTTCTCAGACTGACCACAAGCAGAACACAGGATTACTTTGGGTGAAGGGAATTGAAAAACAAGAGGTAACTCTAGGTCAGTGTACTACTTCTTAACCAATACATGCCTTTAGTATTAGGTACAGCATTTAGCTTAAATGCTTATTTCACTCATGAGTTGTTTTTTTAGCAGATTTGTCTGATTTTTGCAGCAAGAGAAACAAGCATATCAGAAATTATTACATTTGATAAGTATGTGTAAAATATATCTGCAATGCTTTGCATATTTGTACCTTTTCAAAACTACAGCAGATTTCTTTTGCCCCTTTGGAATCTACCAGCCATTTTCTTTGCCCCCAAGTTGAGAACAATTTTAATGAGTATTTTCAGCTCATGAATACTGTCTCCCCGTAGCCTGCTTCATGAAAAGGAGGAGTCCAGCTTTTCCATCTGCTTCGTGCTGCCGGCTCTAGTGCTCTGAGCACTTGCCAGCCGTAGGGACAATCAACAGTTGAGGTCTTCTGCGATGGGATCTGAGCACCCACTGCTCCCATGCCATGAGCTCTGGAACTGTGTTTGGCCTCGGACAGGGCCTGGGCCTCTTGCCTTCAAGGTACGTGCAATGAGCTGGTGAGTAAAAGGAAGCTGTGTTCTCCTCAGCTTTGTGAACGGTGTATGAGGTCTGCTTTAATTTCTGCAGCTTGATTTTTTTGAACATGCCCAAGTGAAATAAAAAGTTCCTTTCCGATTCAGGATGAATTGAGGCCTTCTGCTTTTTTATCTCAGCAAAATAAGCCCCACTACACATTCTGAGCAATGTGCACAAATAACAAAAATTAAAAGTTAGGATGACCTTACTGGTTGAAAATACAGAGCATACTGTGAAAACCAACGTGGAAATTTCTGTATAGCACAAACTTCTTTATTATTAATCTCAGACAATGATATGTTTTATGATAATATAAGCAAGCTATATTCTTCTAGCTGTATTTAGTTCCTTTGGTAACATCATAAACTTGAGAACAAGGCCTTGTCTGACCTCTGAACTACCCAAGAGTTTGTGTTGCACACAGAAAATGCCTCCTTTCTAGGGCAGAGCAGTGCCAGTGCCCTGGGCTGCCACTGAGGAGAGGCAGCAGTGGGGCAGGCAGGGGCCCTGTGTGATCCTGGACTCGTTTGCTCTCCCTAGCAGGTGCAGGGGGGTTTCTCCCGATTCCAGGATCTTTGCAGACATCTTCCTGTGTGAGAGCAACAGTCTTTATCACTGATGCTTACTGCAACTTCCCAGTATCCCAGTTAGCTGCCTACAAATTTTATCATAATTCTGTGTGAAGAAATGCAAATTAAGGCAGCCTAAAATTCCCACTTCTGAAGCATATGGGGAAATCTCTGTCTTTTTCTGGTGGGTGTCTGCAGAAGCCATAGTAGCAGTAAATATTTGAGTGCTCTCTAGGCCATTTCTCTGGGAAAACTGTTCTGGACTGCAGATAAACAACTGAGTAAGCTTCAGTTTAGTATGTATTTATCGCATATTTTTAGTAGAAAAATCCTTGTACTTGAATAGCTCAAAGAGGGCATGCTTACTGAATTATTTTCATCATAGAAGAACAGAGATTTCAATAAACAGCCCAAAGTCACGTATCGAATATACTCCAAACTGGATTTCCTGTTTTCGGTGTCCTGTTTTTTTAATTACTTGCTAGTTTTACAGTATAGAGTAATTAAATATTAGCAATTTTGAAGAATTCTATATTTAAAAAATACATTGAGTCTCAGTAAAGCTTTGTATTTTTAATATAAATTTAAAAAACTGAAAATAGTCTAATTTGATTACAAAACTACAAGTAGTTTTGCAGAGAGATGCTGAGAATATTGTGCCATTCTCGCTATGGAGTATATCATGCTAAAACCCTTATTCAAGTTGGTAAAAATCTCCTACCAATTTTAGCAGGCTTTGGGCAAGTCCTATTGTTGCCAACTTGTAAAAATGCTATCAATATAAAACTCAAGTTTTGCTTGAAGAATATTTCAGTTTGACAACCTGATGGGCAAAGACTTTATCACAACTGTTTCTAGGCTCACTAACTTACCAAAATATATTCTGAAATTCAACAACTTCATTCTTTCCTTTTTTATAAAAATTTTAAGTTTAGGTACAAAATTGTAAATCTGACAATAAAAAGATGTTTTTGATGCTCTAATTTTTAATATTTTCCTTCTGTCAAGCTTGAATGCTTTGTGAGTGTTCTACCCTAAGTATGCTGTCTTCCAAAATTGTTGCATACCTCTGAACATTTCAGGTTTTTAAATATTAGTCTGAAATAATAAATCAATATCCAGCATGTGTAAGCTCTGCAATTTCTGTGAGTGTCTCTTGGCTGGTGTCTCAGTGTGGGCACATACAATAGATCACCTTTAATCTCATCAGAATCATAGTTTGTAAATGCTCCTAATAAGACTTTTGCAGTCTAGTTTTATTTATTTATTTATTCAGAAATAAATATTTTGTAACCTGCTAGCTACTTTAGACACTCATTCTTTCTTCTTTATTTTGCTAGGAGATTGGTGTTTGCCAGGTGTCTTCTAAACATGCTGAAGAATTCTGACTGTTCAAGCCAGTAAATGCTTTTCATTGGCTGACATGGAATTTCACTTGGGAAGCTGCTCGGGTCACGTATTTCATCAGCATTAAAAACTGAGATTCACAGCAGTATGAAGGGGGACAGCCATTTAAACAAATGGAGCCATCCTAAAATAGCCTAAATATAACAGTTTACACTAGGTAAGAATCTGTCCTATGCTTTTATCTCCATTTAAACTCCTTGTTCTAATGCAAAGGACTCCACTTAGAGGAATGTTGATGGTTAACATGAAAAAAAAAATCTGTGCCTAAAACCTGTTGAAAGCATTGTATCTACAGAAACACGCCTGATCTTACATTAAAACTCTTAAGTCACTGTTACACACTTTCTCTTCCATTATCCAAGAGCAACTCACCACCTAATAACCTCAATTTTTAGATATAATTAACGCATACCAGAAACACAGTAGAATTTCCATTTAGTGCTGTAGTTTGTGCATTATGGACATCATACTGCTTATATAATGTCCCGATAGATCACTGCAGAGTACATTTGTATCTTTGATACCTGTTATATACAAATGGATTTATGGGCTCTGCCTCTTGCACCTTGTCTGACCGGCACAGATGGCCCAATCTGTCAGCAGGAGCCTTCTCCTGGTAAGCAGCTGCACCAGCGGTGACTTGCATCTTTTTGCCAGGCACCTCGATTTTCTGGCAGTCCTGCTCCGTTCCTCACCATCTTCTAGCAATGATCTGTGCAGGCAGGGATGGCACTGACCCACCATCATTGCTCCAGCTCAGAGCCAGAATACGTTTTTGTGAGTTGGACCTGACTTGCAGCTGAACGAATGACATCTTCTGCTAAGGACATCCTCTGAGTAACAATGATCTGAAAGTGTAGAGTGTTAGTATGAGCTGTCAAGTTACAGATTAGATACTTCATATCACAGGATACGCTTCAGGCAAGTGAAAATGCTGTTTCAGGCTATTCTTGAAGTGCCTTTCCAGGGGCAGCATTCTCACTGTCAGTGGCAGGTTACACAAGATTCTCTTAAATGTTAGCACAGCAGATTGTAAAATGACTGAGAGTAAAGTGGCACAAACCAGATTTGATGTTCTTTTTACCTAATTTTGTCACTGCGCCAATTTAGATTTGCACTGGGCCTTAGAGCTGAGAGTAACAGCTCCTGAAGCTTCCTGTGTGCAAGGCATGTTTGCCTGAGACCAATCAGCAGTGTTCGTACACCTTTTCTTCTTGCAGCAACTATACTTCCTGAGCAAGTAGAATCAAAAGTGAAAGAAAATGGCAAATAAAACAGACCTTGTTTTTCCCTCTATTCACTACCAAGCCCTGCATTGTTACCAGCTGAGTAAGACCACAAGCAATGGGAGGATTCATCAGGCTGCAAAGCCAGCTCATCTATCGGGCACTAAGAGCCAACGGAAGTAGCTGCACTTCCACGTCAGCACCAGCGCAGTGTCAAGTGCCTCTTGGTCCATTTATGCCAGTTCGCTGCTAAGGAGCAGTGTCAACTACTTGAGCTGCCTGTGGCTAAATTCAAAAGGAATAGCTACCGGCAAGGTTTTCAGCAGCAAGGCCTGTTTTCCTAAGGCCTATCAGAGGTTTCTTTAGCAGACTTGCTAGATATTGGTTCTACCTGACGCTAAATTTGCCTTTCCTAAGCCCTTTTCCAAGCTTTACAAATTTTCTGCAAAAGTCAGAGGATCCCACCACTGTTATACTTTTTGAAGCTTACCTCAAGATTAGTATGATGAAAAACAAATAGAAAGTTAATAAAAATATGTTTTCCTGGCACTGTACGTGGTTTGGGGAAGAAGTTGATAATGAGCAAACTAAATTCAGAACTGATACATGCATGTTATCTGAAAAATGGTACACTGCAGCCTCAGGCTCTGGTACCTGTTGCAAATCCTGACATGCCCAAAACAAGCCCTTCCTTTCACCATCCATACATGGTATGGGGTGCATTAACCAATCCTGGTAAAGCACCTATTTATTGAAAATTCACTTACTCACCATTTGAGTTCATTAGTATTTTGGGACCCATAATAGGTTCCTAATGCATCTAGTAGTTCCAATGCATCTGGCATTTATATGAACAAAATACAAATCTAGCTCTGAATTTAAGTCATTTCACAATATGAGCAAAAAAATGTTTGTGGTAAGTACAATAGTGTGACCGCATGTTTTTATGTTGTGTGTGACGTGTCTGTTGTGCAATAGAGAGGAGAAAATAGATGCTGTAGTGGAAAAAAACTTTAGAGAGTTCTTAATCAGTGAATGTCTTAAGATAGAGAGGTAATAATATTTACTGTCTTGCAGTACTTCACTAAAGTACAGTTGTAAGGCAGCAAAAAATGTTTTATAGAACAACTAATGATAATAATGCATGGTGGTAAAAGTGGGCTCTCTCATTCAAGTATGAAACTCTTGATATAAGAAAGTCACTTCTCTGCAATCACAAAATAAGGTCCAAATAATAATTTAATAGCTCATAAATGGACTTGTGTTTTGTTTCATTTAAAGTTCTCTAGAAAGAATATAGGTCTAGGTGAAAAGAATAAATAATACTTCTTCATAAAATTTCATAGGCTTTTTATTGTAATTTCCAAAGGGCTCTAATTTCTGTGATATTCTGTTTTTTCTTATATTCTGTGAGATTTTTTCCATGAAGAAATAATTACATCTTTGGAAATTCTTTCATTTTTTCCTGTTCCATTTTATATTTTTTTTCTCTATTTGTAGATATATGTGTGCTTTGGAGAGGTAAATGCTAGCAATCTGATGAGAAAGAAAATACTTCTGTGCTTCACTGGCAGGTGATCTGGACTGGGTTTCTGGCTCTGTACCAGGCTACTTCTGTGTGGCCTGAAGTAGCCAGCAGTAGCCTGGTTTGCAACCAGGTGCCTTTTCTCTGCAGCAAGGAGGGAGGTGGCGGAGGCAGCGCTGTCTCCATGCACATCCCACGTGCATCCCGCTCGCCTGCACCGTTCAGCCAGGGGCCGTGCGTGGCTCCTTGCTCCGTCTCATCCCTCAAGACCCATCTCAGCTGCAAACCTGCTTTACTGCAGCTCCCTCCAGACTGCTCCTGCTCCTTGCAGCTCTACATGGAAGCAGCCATAGACCTCTCCCTAATAAGGTAAACATGATATTTTGCTTTTGGCTTTAGTATGGTCAACTCGTGCTCTGAGCTACATGCTTTGTCCATGACATTATTTTTTTAAACATCAGTATGCTGTGTTACTGCTCTGTTTGGAAAGTATGCAACCTGTACCTGCGAATTATGGCATGTTGCTCGTTTTCTCAAGTTAGGCCAAGCTGCAACAAAACTGAGAATTATTGACCCTACAGTAATCAGGTAATCTTGATAATCTCTCTAGGCTTAGTTTCCCCATTAAAAATAATAAAAGTGAGAGCAATGCAGGGTTTTAGTAAAAGCTTTAAATACTTAATGGAGATCAGATAGTAGAGAGCCGCAAACCATGATAAAGGAGCGTTGTTGCTTGCTGAGTAATTAAGTAACCTCACTGGAATTAAGCTTTCTTAGAAGCATTATCTCTTGCTGCAAAATATTATTCATTTTAAGAACATTAATGTGTGTCTGAGAGAAATGATAATATAGTGAGCAGAATGAAAATAATTCTGGGTCTACAACAAATACAGCTGAGCTTTCAGCTGTGGTAACAGTGTCTTCATGCCAGAATAAACAGATGCTGGTTTTTCTGTTGCCTTCCTTTGAAAAACTAGCTGCACACACGGAATTGCCAACTTCTGTTGGCTCCGTTTTTACAAATTCAGATTTAACATAGTCAATGATTACAATCGAGCGGCTCGCGGAGAGCGGCGCTGTGTCGAGTAGCACAGTCGTGTGGCAGCCGCGAGGGGCAAGGCCAGCCTGCCCGGCGCCATGACAGCTCAGAGGAAACAAGGCCGTCCCTTCGTAACATGGAGGGTTTTGCTCTGGTTGTCTGTGCTCAGAGTGCGTGGAGCTCCTGGCCCTCCTCCCTAAGCTATAGCCCTAAGAGCACCACACTTTCTCAAGGATCGCAGAGAGTAGCAGCAAGAGAGTCCTGCTTTTAAAAAGCAGCTGTAGCATTTCAACACCACAGGAACGATATGCACATTTCTGGCTGTATTTTCTGTGCCTATAAGAGGTGAATATTTACCCCAACTCTCCTTTCCATTTCCTTGAGCAATATCCCTTAACCTTGCATGAAATTCCAAAAAATGGCTAGTTTAGGTGACATCACACATATCAACATGCTTTCTTCTCAGCATTGTAAATCAATTCTGGGGCACGAGGGCATTACAGGACATAGTATATATAATTTGTATCCATAAAAATTATCTGGAATGACGATTTTGGGCACTGAAACACAAGCTGTTTTCTTATTCCGAACACTCCGAGCAGAATCCCAAGAGTTTGCTCAGGACTGGCAAAGGCCCGAAGGCATTTGCTCTTAGCTGGCAAACAACTGCCTCTGTTCATTTAACCAGGAGAACTAAAAAATCCGGTCAAATTCGAAGTTAGCAGAGAAATTCTGATGGGCATCCCTCAAAATTCAGCTCTGTGTGGTCCAACTCATGTCGTGACTGTTGGCAAAACAATTTTAGCATTTCGAGTGTGAAGATTACGAATTCTCCTGTGGCTGCTAGGAATGTTTTAAAGAATATACATTTCAGCTAATCCAAAATCTGTCTTTTTATGTTACTGTTCACTAAGATTTGAAGAATTGAATACTTTCTTGTGAGAATTAAATGGTATTAGGTTTGGCTGTCAGCTTCTGAGTCCCAGGACATTGCCATATTTCACAGTTTGTAGGTAGGAAGATAGAATGAAAACCACTTTGTGATTTTATTTTTGGCAATATTGCTTTCAAAGAAGTTTAAATACTTGGTTAGAGGCAAATTGAAATGCTTTCTTAGAAAGACAGGAAAGATAGGGAAGAATTCTTGTTCATGACATTTTTATTTCATATAAACTGTGTAGAGTTTACGTTTCTGCTTGCTAAATGTAGAAAGAGCTTTGACTAAGAGTGGCATCTGGGGAAAATGTGTTGAAATACAGAAAACCCAGAGTAGAAGAATGGTTTATTGTGCCACAGCAGGGTTGTCTTGTATATGTTTGAAAGACACTAGTGGCAAAATGTGTTTTAAAATTTACAAATCCTTAAGAAGAATTTCACACTTTGTGCTAACTTGAGGGTTGTTCAAACACAGCATGCAATTTTGGCAAGAATTATTTTTCTAACACAGCTGGAAGAGCGATCGCCATTTCCTGCTGCTGTAGCCATGGAGCTGCAGGGGCTCCCTGGAGCCTTATGGCTTTGGTGCCATCTCCTCACGCTCCTTGTGTGAGCATCGGGTTACAAAAGCGATTTACACATGCTACTGCAGATGGGTTTGCTGTATTAGACTGGTTTTTTATGGCACTGTATTTTTTTGACTTGCTATGGAGTATTCTTCTGAAAACAGACGGTGCACTGAAGAATGCTTTGTGACATCTCCAGACAAGGAGCAAAGACTGAAACTTCAGGGATTTCCTTGACATTTTGGTGGCAGTAGGGGCCCTGCACATGCCACCTTGGCTAGAGGGGGAGGTTAATCCTGTCAAACCTGGGAGTGAAGTGAGGCTTTCTTAGCATAAAAAGGAATATATATTTCAACCTGTGGTCCCTGCACTCTAGCCACTAAAACAAATAACATAGGAAAGCTTTCCACTCATGCCTGTCTTTTGAATTTAATCATAACTGGATTGGACTGGAAGTCATAAGACTTTGCTAATAGATGGCTGAAAAAAAAAACTGTCTTATAGGAGATATGTAGATAAGAAGAGGCTTGATGTTAGCAACAGCACCAAGTAACCTCTTAAAATATTGGCATTAAAGACTAGGACTTGCATTTTTGAACAGGCAGAAAATGCAGACAAAATTAGAAAAGTTTCTGCTTTTGATCATTCAGTCCTATCCTGAGGTCTCCAACTTAGCCCATCAGAGAGTTATTAATTAACATCACACTTGAATAAATATCTTTATTTAGTAAAACATAAAAAGCAGTTAGGCAATCCCTATTTTAGGTTAACATTCCAAACTTATCATTAGGCTAATCTTTTGGCCAATTTTTTTTTAACTTAATAGGTGCTCAAAGAGGGCAGAAACTTTTAATGAATCAGATCCAAGGGCTATATTTCATCATGCTCACGGCAGACTTTATCAAAAAGGATCATTTGTATTGGCAGTCTTTCAAAGACTACCCTCTAACTATGCTCAAATCAGGTTAGTTCCACAGATAACTCCTACTTTATTCTGAACATTGCTTCAAGGATTGCAATCACCCTAGCCAGTTAGATTTTAACTGACCTAACTTTTCTTGCTGATATGTTAAACTCATGTTACCTGTGATTGGTAAATATATATTTTTAGCCACTTGCACGTTAGTAAATAGATGGAAGCTGATCAAAATTATTCCACTCCTCTGGATTTTGAATGCAGTTTTTTAGTAAAAAGTTATAATTATTTCACCATTAGTGTATTGCAAGAAATTTCTTCTTCATTGCTAAATAAGCATTAATGTTGTGTGTTTTAGAAAATCAAGGGTCTTCCAAAGTCGGCTGTGGTTCCTTTAATGGCAAATGAGTGAAAGATTTGGAGTGTGAGGCCTCAGGGGTGATGTTCACTGGCCATTTCTGGGCCCTGATCCTTGCAGATTCCAAAGCTTCTTCCAGACTCTTCCAAAATATTAGAAATGCAGAGGTTTGTTTCTCTGGGCTTAGTCCCTGCAGGGAAATATATGTGCCTTGGAGTCCCAGATACCATTTGGGTGCAGATTTCTGACTGCGTGCATCTAGTTGCAAGGGTTTCAACTACATTACAAATGTTTGTCTTTGCAATTTCTGAAAAGAATAGTGTAATAGAGGGAGCAAACTCTTCTTTAAATCTTTTTTCACAAGGGGAAGGGTTCAGCCTCAGCCTCTTCCATCAGAAAAAACAAGTCAAACGCACTTAGCTGCTAAAACTTTATTTCTTTTGTTTTTGGAAAAAAAATGTATTCAATATAGCTTAGTAAAGCTGCAAATCCTTTTTCTTCTCATACCTCTAGTCTTTCTTCCTGAGCAGTAATTTTCTGAAGCACACCATTTTGTCTGATCTGTCACTGATTGATCGCTAGTTATTCTGAAAATGTCCTCTTTGTGTCTAAAAGGGTTTGGTCTGGCTGCCTGACAGAAGGCTGTGAAAACCAGCTCCGGGCTCTTGGTCTGTTCCGTGACTTGGACAGCGCCAGGGCTGAGCCCAGACTTTGGCTTGCCAGGTATGTGAGCAGAGACTCCCAAGCTGCTACCCTTCACTGCTGCAACCTGCCAAAGGCAAACAGCAGAATGGGAAAGATATTCTGCTTTTCAAAGGAGGACATGTGGCCAGCTGTGCACTGTGACCTGAATGGCAGCAGCACACTACAGCAGCAAGAAAGAGACTGAACAGATTTTAAAGAAAGCTATCACTATACAATCTACAAAATAAATATTTGTTTTACAGCAGGCCCCTTCAGGGACTCTATGTGTGTATAACATGCTACATACACTGGCTGATGTCTCAGTGATACAGTGAACTAGAAAGTGTGCTGTTTGGGTGCACGTATCTTCATATTTTGAACTAGCTTCATTCAAAAGATCTTGGTTAAATTCAGTGCTGTGTTGGTAACAGTGCTTCTGTTAGCAAATCACACTCTAGTCAGAATGGAAGAGCCTACATTTTCTGTAAACTTACAGGTATTACTGAAGTTTGGCAGTTGCACAATCGGAGACAAAATAATTCCCTCATTCTTATCTTTTTAGACTGAAGGTTTTAAAAAGTTTTATGAGCCACCACTATTTTCCCTGTCAAAAGCCATCTTGATTCACTGCAGGACACAGAAAGGAAAAATACACGTTGATACAGATTGATCTGAAGCAGAGGGTTGTCCACCTTACTGTTTGCCAGCTCCCCGGCTTCATGATAAATTTTCATATGGGAATTTAAATTGCTTCTGTATCTGAGATCACTAAAGTATTTTGAATTGTAGACTATAGCGAACTTGCTTTTGCTCTAAAGTCAGCCTTCATGCACAGTGTAGGCAAGGGAGAATAAAGAGAATGGGAGAGAAAGAAGGAACATTGTTCGAATTACCTTATTTGGCCTGTGATTTGGAAAGTCACAGTAATTTGCAGTTACCTTAGTGTTCTTGCATGTTATTTCTGTCTCTAACACTGAGGTGAGTGTATATTCTACTTGCAAGATTTGACCAATGAATGGTTTCTACTTATTAATAGCTTTCCTATTCAAAAGAGATGAGGATAGAAATTAATTGACAGTCTACCTACAGTTGCATCTAAAAACACTATAATCCAATGTTTGGACTTAAAAGCAGTCTATTCTAGAGACAGTCAAGTTCTACTGATCTACAGATCTTGCATAGGCTAAAGGCAATTCTGTGAAAGGATTCTGTAGTGGTGGTTCATAAAACACAAAGCCAAAAGCCCAACCCAAATGTATGAGTCACATAACTGTAAGCACATGGCCTTCATCTACACAGTGCACTTTTATCTGATTGTACTTGCTTGTTAGTTTGAACCTTAAAAGGGATTTGTATCTCAGTAAGACTTAGCTGTCTCTCACCAACACTCTGAGCTTCTAATCTGCAACCTTAGAGTGATGAACTTAGCCTGAACCTTATTTATTTTTACTTCTATGAAGAGGACAAGAGTCATCTTTCTGACACAGGATATAAGTAGATGCCTTCCATGCGGTCACATTCTTTCTTTGGCAGGAGGCACTAATAGACTTCAGCACTTCCTCTCTCAATACTCCAGTTGTATATTGCTGCAAGGCATGGATATGCTTATAAAAGCCACCATGGTCACATAGGAAATGGACCGTGTAGAGTAAGTGCATAGGAGCAAATTATTTGGAAGCAGATAGAGGGTAGAGAGTCCACAGGAATTCAGGATTAAACAAAGCTCTTAAGACTTGCCTAAAAAAATAATGCATATGGTATTTTAGGATCACAGAATCACAGAATGGTTGAGGTTGGAAGGGACCTCTAGAGATCATCTAGTCCAACCCCCCTGCTCCAGCAGGGACACCTAGAGCACGTGGCACAGAGTCGCATCCAGGCGGGTTTTGAAGATCTCCAGAGAAGGACACTCGAAAACCTCTCTGGGCAGCCTGTTCCAGGGCTCTGTCACCCTCACAGGAAAGAAGTTCTTCCTCATATGGAGGTGGAACTTCCTGTGTTTCAATTTACACCCGTTATCCCTTGTCCTGTCACTGGCCACCACAGAGAAGAGCCTGGCCTCATCCTCCCTACATTCACCCCTCAGGTACTTGAACATATTAATCAAATCTCCTCTCAGCCTTCTTTTCTCCAGACTAAACAGGTCCAGCTCTTTTAGTCTTTCCTCATACAACAAGTGCTCCAGTCCCTTAATCATCGTCGTACACTGGACCCTCTCTAGAAGCTCAATGTCCTTCTTGTAGTGGGGAGCCGAGAACTGCACACAGTACTCCAGGTGTGGCCTCATCAGAGATGAGTAGAGGGGCAGGATCACATCCCTTGACCTGCTGGGCAATGCTCCTCCTGATGCAAGCCAGGATCCCATCCCATCCCAGGATACCTAACTGTAACAACAGAAAGCATATTTGGTCCCAAAGATGCCCAATTTTTTGATTCAGACATAAAGGAAAGGCAGATTTTGCAGATGGGAAAGTCCAAAACACACATGCAAATACCAGAGTGGTGTCATTTTCAGCCATTCTCCAAGCTTCAGTGAGCCTCTGACCTCCGTTCTCCAAGGGCCTTAGCTTCTCCAGTGCTTCCTTCATGTCGAGGAAGATCCACTGTCATCTTGGGAGCCTGCTCTTTAGGATTTTGGCTGGTGGTTTGATTTTGGAAGCTCTGTAGCCAACACCTTGCCTTTATTTTCAATCTACAGTGGAATCTGAAGAGAAAGGAAGGGATAGCTCTTCCTCTTCTCCTGAAAGCAGCAGTGTGTCGCTTGTTTCTGTGCTGGTAACTAGCTAGAGCAAATTGGGGAACTGAAGATCTCCTAGAAGTCGCTACAAAGACCAAATACAAAGTGCTGCAGTGCCATTCAGTCACTTCTCAGGGAGTCAGCCCTGGTGAGGCCACATCTGCAATACTGTGTCCAGTTCTGAGCTCCCCACTGCAAGAGAGGCATGGAGCTACCAGAAGGAATCTGGCATAGGGCTGCAAAGATGATTAGGGGGCTGGAGCATCTTCTTTGTGAGGAAAGGCTGAGAGAGCTGGGCCTGTTCAGCCTGGAGAAAAGAAGAGGAGGAAAGGAAGGTTGGACTATATGATCTCCAGAGGTCCCTTCCAACCTCAACCATTCTGTGATTTCTCTTTGGTTATGTTCTGTGCCTTAGTATTATAATGGTGTATCAACAGTCTTAGCAAAATTATTTGGCCCAAATAAGGCCCAAATTCTTATGAACACATTGGGTTTGGTGATTTGCTGAATCTGTGTTTTTATCAGAATGTTTATTTTGGTACTTTGCCCACATGCTAGGCTTCTCATTACTTTTTAACTTTACTGTGAATTTGTTATCGCTCTGTGCCTAAATCGATGATGGTATCACGTAGCTTTGACTGGAGCTTTTTCCTGAATATATCTGCTCTGTGTGGGATAAATTCAAATCAATGGATGGAACAGTGAATTCTTCAGAGAGTTACCCAGAGAGATGTTTCTAATGTTGCTAATGACTCTAGTACAGAGTAGTGCAGAAGAATTGCACTGAGCATTGCTGCCCTGCTGCCCCTTTCTTGATTTTCTCTAGAGTATTTATCATGGAATAGCACTTGGCTATCACATCAATTCACTCCCTTATTAAAAAGAATAACAACAAAAAGAAGTCTTTCTAGGGAAATGAGACTGTATGATTATGCTGTGTGACCCTGCCAGCTGTTATCCCAGCCCCCTGCAAACACTCTTCCAATAACTTCTGCCATGTATTGGTCAGGTCTGAAAAAATGTAAGATTATTAAGGAATTAAAGATATAGGGGTCCTCCCTGCAGAATCTATATGTCATGGATTATGGCAGTCTATGCACAGACTCTCATGCCAATGGGAGGTGGTAAATTTGGTTTGACTTAACTGGCAAGAGAGAGTAGGCAGTGAGGGGAGCCATCTGTCCACACACAGGTCCTGCCAGGCCAGAGCCAGGAGATGGGTGATACAAAGATAACTTAATCTGCATGTATCTCCCTCTAGCCCTCCTAGAGAACAGTCCATCATCTGAGATGCACTTTTTTCCTCGTTGCTTGGTGGTGTTGTGTCCTTTGTTGTTTAATCATCAAAGGTGAGGATGAGGCAAGATAATCTAGACAAAGCAAAAGTTTGGCAATGTAAAATAGATGTAAATTCAGCTATAAGAACATACAGAGCTTGTTAAACTTTGCCATCAGCTCTGTGGAGAAAATAGAAAGAGCTTTGACCAAAAGTAGGCCAAGCTTTGCTGGGGTAGTCTGGGATGGGGCTTTCTGTTATGAGCCCTGTGCCTCAGGTGAAGACCAGCCCTGATTAACCCACAACTTTGATAAACATATGTAGCTTGCAAGTTATATCCCATTTCTAAATTAAAAAGAAAATACTGTTCATTGACAGTAATGCTGGTGCATTCTTTAGTAGTGGCCTGCAGGACTATTGAAGTGTGCCCTTGGAAACACAACAGTTATGCCCTATGGTAATGTCTGGTAAAATGAATTTATGAATATATACATGGCTATGTCAGCACTGCCAAAATCAAACTAATACATGACTAGCTTTGTTTCTCATTTGAGAAAGCATTTTTGTGGCATCTTGATGATGTTTATAACAAGGTATTTATAAATATTAACTGAAATAAATGTTCCAGTATAAACTGTAGTTTTGTTTTTAGCTATTTGCTATATGCCCAATGGAACTATTTGCCTTCGGAAAAGGAACATTAATTTTTACATTAAAGATTTGTTCAAGAACTCTATAGGGCAGTGTAAATAAATTAGCTGTGTCTTTTTCTGGAGGGAAAAAAAAAAGCAAACATATACATTTCAGGGAGGTATTCTGCCACTTTGTCTAAAAATAACAGTTTCTTCTGAGTACATACAAGATACAAGTTATCCAAGAATTCCCCTTATCTCTTCAGATGCTACTTGAAATATTATCGTGGGCATATAGTAATCTTATTATGAATTTGTCTTTCTTTTGAAAGCAAAGAGAGGACCAGAGGTCAGATGACAAATCCCTTGTTGAAATCCAGTGGAAGCTTCACTGCAATTATTAATGCAGTCATCGAGGTCCAGATCCAGACCTTTGGCATCTAAATCGCTCTGCTTCAATTCCATTTAGCTGCTGCTTAAGCTTGCAGGTATGTGCAGTGTACAGCACCTTCAGCTTTGATTGCTGTTTCTATTGCCTGAAGTCATGGAGCTGTGTGTGCCCCATGAGCACAGCCATGAGGAGGCTCCACAGCTGAACACCTGTGTGCAGCTCAGTCCTGCCCTGGTGTGGGGGGCTGCATTCCCTCCCTGCATGGCTGCAGGAATTGCTCGTGTGTTGTGTCCAGGGGCTATTTAATATAGAAATGCACAAGTGTCCTTAGGACAAGGCAAGTCATGTGAATACTCTAAACACTAGGCTACTAAGATGTACCCATTTTTGGATTTTATGCAGTGGAGGTTTATGTCCATAGTGCACAGGAGAACACCTTCAAGAAGAAGTTTTTCAAGTACTTCTTTCCAAGTTTTCTCTCAAAATATGGCAGAGAATTAGCTTATGGAGAGGGAACTCCCCTAGATGATACTATTTTTAATTTCAGGCGTAAGAGGTGATGAAATTGGATCTCTCCAATTGTGGTTGAGGTAACTGACAATAAATAACCTGGTGCAAAGATCGGGATCTCAGGATGCCCATGGCTGCAAGAGCCCCCACACTGTGTGCTTTGCCGGGCAAATTTTTCCTGTGAATTATTGGCAGTTCTGTACGGTCACAGTGAAAGACTGACAAGGAACTGGCCGTCCTGACTCTGCTTAGATTCATGCACCATGAATGCTTCCTGCAATATGGGATGCCTGTAGTTTTATCAAGATAATGAAAATATTGTCGCTGGCTAGACTATCAGTCAAGGGAATGTGCTGGACAAAAAAATCAGTA